GATGGACGAAACCGGAACGTCTCCGACCCTGCATTATGGACCCCGCTCTCCGATGCGTTTTCTTCTCCAGAGAATCCAATCGCCTTGAAGCCCGAAGATGGGATGATCCCCTCGTCACAACTCATCAGCAAGGGTTCAATTGATATCGGCATTTCAACCCAACCCAGCCCACTCAAGTTTTCTTCAGATAGTCCGAGGAAATCGAATCGAACGCGAGAATCGGAGCCCGACCACGAGCATGCAGACGATGAGAGCGGATCTCCGGAAATTATTCGCAGAAAATCCACCTTGCAATTATCGTTCTCAACGGGTGAAAAACGCTCCACGGGAAATGATGCCTCGAGAAAATTTTCCCAAGTTTTCGGTACCTCGGCTAGATTTTCTGAAAACAAGCAGGGGTCGGATGTGAAATCCCGGGGCACTCATAATCGCAGCAGCAGCAACGGTTCGCCCATCAGTCAAAGCAGAATTGACGAGAGCGCAGTCGAGCCAGGGATGTATTCGCGAAAGAGCAATATCGCTCCCCGAAACAGTCCGATAGATGGCAGTAGTCCGGAGTTCATCACCTCTGAAGAGGAATACAAACCGGAAGGTACGGTCTGATTTTTCTCCTTTCATATAGTTAGTGATTCACTCGCTTCATGTATGAGAAACTTGTAAGAGAAACACCCTAACTAAAAAAATTTCTGACATATTACAAACCCATGATACTTAACAAATCGAAAATTGTGAATTCTTGAGCATTGGGAGGATTTCGAACAAAAAATGGCGCGTATATTGATCAAATTATGAATCAGATGTAAATTGTCCGCCTGAAAAAAATGTACTATTATGGGGAAAAGCTTTCCATGTGTTTTTCAGGTGACTATACGCATATTCTGATACAATTTTAGTGCGATTCCAGCACAATATTGAAACTGTGAGGCAGTTTAGCTAAATCAGAATAAAAATGCCAGTCCAATTTGAAGATTCCTAAATCCTACCCTCTTCTTGAGTTAACCTTGTTTTCAGCACAGATATTTCTAACCATCACCCGGTGAACAGCCTTTTCTGGGAGTCAATGATAAGTCACAAGATTTCTGAAACCCCCATGATCGATGAAACATGGGGATTATAAAATGAGATTTCATTTTTGGCAAACGAATCCAACGCAAAGGAAGAGCCAGGTTTCTATGTGAAATTGAATGCCTTCATTAGGAATTTTGTACAGAGGTCGTTCAAAAAATTATTGCATTATTATAGCCAACAAAAATAGCGCCAACAAACTATTATTGTTCAATTATTGCCTACAAAAAATGGGTTATTTAGGTCCCCGACGAATATATAGCCACAATACTTAAATTGTTTATGCAACATTTTGTTATGATCCCACAGAGGCATTGTTGTAATATAATTGTACTATATAAATATGCCGCACAATGTACACGTGCAATTCATGTTAATCTGAATTAAATAGCGCAGAGGCGCGCGCTTAAATAACAAGTGAATGACGAAAACGTCAGGATATATTTCTCCGCTGTCCAGAGAAGAAGAGCCAGCGGCTCGTCGCCGATTTTGATGAGCCAATCGCACAAAATTCAACAATTCCTTTGGTACATGAAGACGATCTCCAGAAGAGAAGTGAAGTCTCAAAGCCGAGATCAGAATATCCTGACATCCTTTCAAGATCACCGTCAATCATGATTCAAGAAGGTAGGATTCTTTTTTTTGCGATTCATTTTGGCAAATGAAGGTGCATTGTAGATAGTCGAGAGGAATTGAAAGCGGTGCCAACCGGTGTGAGACGAAGCAATTGGCATTTGGCAATAGACTTGCCTTATTGTTAATTACGTTGCAGATCGCATATACTGTTCAGTCGAACCTCGAGTACTGTACTCTCGAACCTCCTTTTCAAACTAATACTGTACCTAATTATGTCGATTTTTTCGAATCCCTCTCCGAATTCTCTTAAAAGCAATTAAAAGCAATTCTCTTAAAAGGCCATTAAAGTAATGGACTTTCAGCCATTACTTTATTGACACGGAAAAGAGAACAGCAAAAAAAATGCAACTTACTGATGTGTTCTTAGGAAAGGAAGTGAAAGACAATTCAACACTTGCCTCCAAGTTGAGCATATTGTCAACTCAAGTATTCTGCAGTTTTCGGCAAAATAAATCACACCATTTTAGTTTCCTGTAATTTTCAAAATATTAATATTCAGTACAAATAGCCGTTTTCCCAACTCGAAACCTCCTGAAATCGAATGTTTTGCTTGTCCCTTGTTAAAATTCAACTTGAAGAGGTTCGACTGTATCACCAAGTACTGTATATACGTTCTACAGTACAATCCAATTACAGCGAAGTATTTGTTGCATTGGAATAGACTTTGTTATCAACTAAAATTCGTTATAACGAAATAAAAAAACACATCGTGTTATCGGACAGAGACTGAAAAAAAATTCACTGCCAGCGTTAGTTCGTTTTAATGAAATTCGTCGCGACGAGATTCTACTGTACATACAAAATTCTAGAAAATGCAAGCCTCGTAGATATTATTTCAGAACAAAACGCTGTGCAAAGCCGTGAGGAAGCAAGAAGAACCAGCGTTGAAAAAGAGCAAGACTGGACAAAAATGACTCCAGACGAAAACCTCAACGAGTCGAGAAGAAGCAGCCTTGAAAGCCCAAAGGCAGACGCAGTACCAGCAGTGCTATTTATAACACCACCCGAGTCCCCGAAGGAAGAACCACATATTCATGATAATAGAAAAGTCAAGTCATCCCCCGCCTTCTTGAACGACGAACTCGAAGAACACACGCCAGAAAGTCCAGCCCCCGTCATCTCGGAAGATATTCCCAATGAACCCTCACCAGAAAGTCCATTCCCTGTCATTTCGCAAGGTACCCCCAAAGAACTCGCGCCACGAAGTCCATCGCCCACCGCTTTAAAGGACATCTTCAAAGAACCCACACCAAGAAGTCCATCCTCCGTCATTTCGGAAGCTAGCGTCAAAGAACCCTCACCCCGAATAAGTCAACCTCGCACCATTTTAAAATCCGTTATAAAAGAACCTATACCACGAAGTAGATCCCCCGTCATTCCGGAAGCTATCGAAGAAGAAAACAATCCAAATGAATCCCCTCCACCTCCAGTCAAGAGCGAAGAACCAGTGCCGGAGGTTCTCCAGACTTCCGTCAAGTCAAAGAAAGTTATTCTCCCAGCCGAAGGTACATTTTCTCCACTTTAAATCTCTCCTGCAGCTTTTTAGAAAAACTCGAAACATTAATCTTCTGAATAATATAATAGAGGGCGAAAACAAGCCGGAAGACACAGCAGCTCCTGATGGAGACCAGAGACGATCTGAACTTGAAGCACCAATCCCGAATAAAGGAGGACAGAATCACCATAAACTGGATCACGTCAAGTTAAAAGGTGACATGATTATTTTATACACTGAAAAAGCATATGAATTCGAGGAATGCACACAAATATGAAAATACACAGATCGAGCAACACTGAAGCCGATAATGGAATGGTTCTATAGAATTATGGTTCAATCTCTGTCCTAAAAGTAAAAGGCTTCCAAATGTTCGAAAAGTGTGATTCTCACACATTTTCCAGTACAAATTCCAAGTACGGTAGATGTCACAGGCTGAAAAAAATCAGAAGGGGCGATCGGAAGAAAATAACGCAACAGGTTTAATACAGTCGAACCTCTTCTATATTCTCACTTCAAGGGGCCAACATATAAAATTGAGTTCGGGAGGTTCGATTCAAGTGCGGAAAATAAGCTTTTTGTTTAGGAAAAAAAGAATTACCGGGAAATCGTAATTTATTACATTCTGGGCCTTACATTGCTTCTTGAATGACAGGATGCTGAACTTGAAAGGCAAGGATTCATTTATCCTATCAGTCTTTAAAAACGCATCGAGTTGAATTTTTTATCGCTTTTCTCTTTTTTTGTTTTCACGAAATTGAAAAACATCTCCAGAAAGAGCGAGCTATTGGAAAATGCCCTCCGGAAAGGATTATAAATGAATTGTTTCTAATACAATTTATACAGGAACTTTCAAGAAATTTGACTTACGGAATTTCAGCTGTATGCTGGGTCAAATGAACGATCGGATAATGTCCTTGATTTGAGAAAAAGATATACTGCAGGAAGGATATGGTGTACCTATAGAAAGACATTCGACCAGTATGATAACCACAAAAGTTACAAAGAAGGGTTGTTTCTGGTCCAAGATAGAATTCCGAAGCAAACCCACTTTCTCCACACATCTAAACCAATTTGGGCATCATACCCCTCTAAATCGATATTAATTCACTGATTCACATCACGCAATAAATTCTGTACGTTGCACATCCCACGACAAATATTCACGATACCTTCTTCACGCTCCCTACTACAGAAGCAATTTTCACCCAGATATAGAGTGGGGAATGGGTCGAAGGCCGAAGTCAGCCGCAGGTCGTGATTCGGAACTTGACAAAGTCCACGTGCTTTATAAGCTGACTCCGATGAAATCGAACTCAGTAGATAACGGGAAGCCACCTCCTGAAAAACCCTCTCAGTACGATGTCGCCGAAAGTCCTTTGCTAGCCTCTGTTTTGCCCTACGAGCCTGAGCGTTCGAAACGGTCTGAATTCCAATTCTCGCCGTATGTTTCCACGTCTGTGAGTTCAACGCAGCAAGAAACCGTGAGCACGGATGGGCTCCAAGAAGAAGATAATAACGGCGAAGACAAGAAGAGCGCCAGAACGGAAGGTGGTTCGGAATCCATGGAGATCCCTTGGTTGAAGCAGCGAAGATTCCCGTCAGATTACGTGCATGGAGTTGAAGCGGTCGCCATGAAGCTAGGAAATCCCATCGATATTGGTAATGTGACTCGTATCTAATTGAGAATCAATTATGACATTTGCGATTATAGGCGGGCTCTCATCTTCTACAAAATTCAAGGGACCAGAAAACAAATTCGTCGTAAAAATAATTTCGTGGTAGAGATTCCCTATAACATGGGGAGAGAAACGCATGGGACCAAAATGAAAGTCGTTATGCAGATTAAATCGTCGTAGAAAAGATTGTTCTACCGAAATTTCACCTGTAAAACATTCTATCGCTGTGTTATCCAATTAAAAAAATTACTACACTCTATAGACTAAAATACAGTTTCTCATTGTGCATCTTAAAAGAGGTCTATACTGAGTAGAACACCGGAAGTAATCCAGAAATTTGCAAAATGAACCGCAGCTGGCCGAAATACTATGAAAGATGTAACGTTTATAAACTTATCAACTTCTGCTGGCATCTGATGGAGATATGAATAAATGGTTTTCAATGAACATAGCTGCTGATAACCAATCCAACAATGAAAGTTAAGATAAAAAGCAGCCACGTAAAATTTGTTCGCGCGGCGCATCTTCGGAAGCGGATTTTTCCCCCATGTAAGACGTTTTTCCCACATATTAAGCATTCAAGCAGCCTTAAATACGTTTCCAAATTATCCCGTTTACACTACGGTACTGTATATACGAGCGTACATATTAGATTACAGCACTAACACACGTTTTCGGCTGGTAATTGCGTTCCTACTGCAGTATTCCCATTCTATTTCACTTCGATTTCGATAAATTTATCGAAAAATGCATCCAAAATGATTCTTCAGCAATCCGATCATAGATCATAAGGGGATGTTGAGGGGAACACTAACGAAAAAGTATTGCTGGTGAGTGAAGACTATTTTCCATAGAATTCAAAAATTATTTTGCTTCACGCAATATTGAAAAATAAGACCCAGCGCCATGAAAATGTTATCGAGCAATTCTTTGCGCTGTGCACTTCATCCTCAGGAATCAGCAAAATCACGCTGATCACCAAAGGCATCCACTTCGACACTTCGACGAATTCACCGTCAGGAAATCCCACAGAAGTTCTGGCGAGATTGGCAAATCAAGCCCCAGATTCGGACGAACAAACATCCGCTTTATCATCTCGCAAAAAACGAGATACCTCGGGTCCTCAGAAGCCCAAATCACAGTATTTAACCTCAGAAACTATAACCGATTCTCTGCTACACGAGCCAGCTTTAATTAACGACGCTTTGCTGGAGAGAATCTCAATGATCCCCACGGACGAGCTGCTCAACAGTGAGCAAAATTGCGACACACAAAAGGACATTAAGGAGCGGTTCAATCGGAGTTGTTCGGTCATGAGGGCCTTGGATAAAATGTCGGATCCAAAAACGAAGCTGAAAGCCGTCACGCAGAGGATCAGAAGAAAACTGAAACCAGGGACTAGATCCAGAAGTCATCAGCCTGCCAGTTCAAGACACCCTAATGGTGTATGCTTCGAGGAATCACCCGGCAGCGTTTCAGACGAAAGTTCCCAGTTTTCTGGGCATCATAAATTGAGAACGTACACACGGTCGAGAAGTCACCCCAACTTGAGACTTGAATCTCCTAAAAGAAGCAGATCAAAACCACCACGGGAGAGGATCAGAGGAGGTTAGTGCTGTGCTGAAATGCATTTCAACTTTTCAAGCTTGAATATTTTTGAAATTGCGATTGAATTGAAAGTTACTTTTCTTTGCCTTGTCGTTACATACGTCACAAACACAGAAGCTGAGAAAAAAATTTGCTCTGCTACTAAGGAAAATTCAAATAGAAGAGAAAGTTTAATGCGCAATTTTTTCCTCAGGGGTTCCTATGCTGTACAAGGGTTGCTCCAGCACTTCAATTACATTATAAAGTACAGTACTGTATATCAAATTAAAGTTACTTTTCTGATCGTCTCAAGTTGTGAAGTTGATTTTAGTTGTAAAAGTTAATTTTAGCTTTATTTTAGATTAGAATACTTTATTAGTGATCCCCAACCCGTGGTCTGCGGATTGCTGCAGGTCCGCTGAAGTTTTTTGCCAGTCCGCGGGAGATAAAGTCAGAATTTCGGAAAGACAATGATAGTTGTATTACAGAAGTCGGCTTTTCTCCTAATAACAAATTGTCACCAGCTGAAATAAATTATATGAATTTTTATTCCGAGAACCTTTCTTCAAGCTCACCTTTCTAGCCTTGCGAAGATAGTCCAGTGTCGCTACTTTATTTGATGTTCTTAATTCTCGCAAAAAAAAATAATAATAATAATATATATATATATACTGTATATATCTACTGTAAAGTCTTCTGAACAAAAGGATTTTGCCTCTACACCATTTTTTGAAACTTCGCCGGTCCGCAAAAAGGTTTTTGGAAATTTGCCAGTCCGCAAAAAATTTCAGGGAAATTCGCCGGTCCGCGGGCCCAAAAAGATCACCAGTCCCGTTCCAAAATGCCAAAAATTCAGGGCCAATAGAATAATAGGGGATCAGAAAATTTCAATCGCTTGAATCGCATAAGTCTCGAATTTTCTTCTGAAAAGATTTCAAAATTCAAATTTTATGAACTTGCCCCTTATCGCGATTCACCAGATAAAGCATAAAGACGCTAACTTGAGGAATTAATCAGCATGCAGGGACCATAAAAACGCTAATTTTAATTGGAATTCGCAGTTGAAAGAATTTATCTTCGTTTTTTCGAGAAAACTCCATAATTTGAGGAATTGGTTTTTACAAGGTAGTTCCAATGAGCGAGAAACACAGATGTACCTGATCGAGTTGAAACCGTCGTCGCACAGGAAGACCAAATTGACTCACAATTTGCTCGAGGAACACATCACAGGCGACAAGGGAATTGTTTACAAGGTTCTTTTTCCTAAACCCCGGGTAGCATTGATGGGTGGTGGAGATGGTGTATTCAAGATTTACCCAATCCCAGAAAGTGTGATACGTGAGTGATCGATTCCTGTGCTTCCTTGTGAAGCCTTTCAATTTCTCGCCCAAAATATTTGCGACATGCATACAAGCGCAATTACGAAACGTTTCCGCGATCCCCAGAAGAACTTTGGTGTAACGAGATTTTACTGCTGTGTATTGTATTTATAAACCCCGCAGGTGAGAACGGAAAGCAAGCTGATGTGGCTCTTCAAGTGCCGACCCCGGAATATCTGACTGATGAAGAACCCTTGCTGGATGATTCCGACGGCAGCGTTACGGTATTGAAAGCTCCCGGGAAAAGGTTTCCCGCTTCCGTCCTGAACCTGGGAGCACGTTACCAAATCGAAGATCCGAGCCAAGAAGAACCTAAAGAGGACAATAGTATGGAAGACAACATAGGCACGCGAGGTGTTGGTCAAGATTTCATGGCAGAGCTCAAAATGTCTCAGAGTTACATCATGTCAAGGAGATCAAGCAAACAAGATCATGGGCCAGAGATTAAAATTCCCGAGGAACCAGGGCCGAAAGTGGCAGACGAACAAGAGACGAAAGAGACAGAGGAGCAATCGAAGAATAAATCGACTGAGGATGGAGAAACAAAACCCTCACAAGAGCATAATAATCGCATGAACGGGCACTCGGAAAACCAGTCCGCAAGATTCATAGGACAACAAACACCAGATCAAGCTGAGGAATTTCTCAAGGATATTGAATCCCTCATCGAAGCCGGGCATATCGAAACGCAAGAAATCAAGCCAAAATTACCGAAAGAACCGCCAGTGATTTCCTTCAAGAAAGGGAAATTGCAAGAACGCCTCGAAACAACTAAAAAGGCTAGCTTCCATCCGAATCACCTTGCGCAACATGCTGACGATAAGAGCAACGCTTCCGAGCATTCTGAACAAGTAAGAACATTCATCATGTCCACTTCTTTTTTCCAACATCATGCCGAAGAGGCGTATTTTCTCAAAAATCAGACGTTTTTTTAATCAAATTTTGCCTCGCCCAATTCTAAAACATCTTACATTCACCGTATGATCGTTTATAAAATGATTTTTCTGCAAATATGAAGATTGTACGGTTGAATAAATTCGATAAATTGAACCTAGCGAATTCGACGGCTTTCCCTCTCTAACCTCCAAAGCTTGAATTTTCTCGAGCCTTATTGGCTATCATTTTAATGAGACAGAAACGAGAAAAGCAATAAATAAGGATCTTTTTTTATGCGTTCTGAATGAAAGTGAAGCATTATTTGGACAAATCAACTTTTGCCTCAAAGTGCTTCTTAAATGAGTTGAAAGGATGCTGTAAGGCCCAGAATATCAAAAATTACAATTTCCTGTAGTTCTTCCATCTTTCCCCCAACCCGAATTTCTGGGGGAAAGAACAAAGCTGAAATGTTTCTCGGTTCCTTCGAATTTGAACCTGCATTCGAGGTTCGATTTTACTTCCAATTCCATGCTTTTGGAGGAATGCCTGCCGAAATACAGTATTTCATTTCTTGCCGATTTTAAACCATCTTGATAAGTTCGCCGCGGAGTTATTTTATATTAAATTCGACTGGTGCTAGCCAAATAAGGAAAATCGATTTCCAGATGCACTGAACACTGACCTGCCGTCAATGGTACACACCAGTTAAATTCAGTTTTAATTGCGAACTATCAGATCAGCTACGTCAAACGTTTCCATATCAAGCAAAATTAGAGATTAGTGGTGATGTACACCAAGTTTCGCTCGCGCATTTGATCAGGATTCACAGTATCACAGTGTACTTGACTGCCGCAATAAGACTGTCAAGATTGAACCCAATCAAAATCCATTTACTTTCATATATATTCCATTTTCGAAGAAAACAATCTTCCTAATTAGCGTTATGGAAATCTGTTTTCAGGCGAGACAAAGCAATGCCTCCAGTAAGAAAAAGTCGGAGGCAGCATCCATTCTACCCCGGAAAGCTCTGCCTTCCATCGTCAACAAGTCTGGCGCTGAAAGCGACGCTCATCACTCTCGGTCCCGACCACGCGGGAAAACCCCTCTTCGCAAGCAAAATGCCACTTCGGTCAAATCCGACTCGTCGATTCTTTCCAGAGATGGCCAAACCAAGGATGAACCCGTTGAACAACGCGAGGAACAGACTACTCGTTCAAGTGATGTGCCAGCAGAGAAATTGCCCATGGAAAGCGAATCCACTGTGATCGAGTTTGGTTTCCCCGAAATAACTGACGCACACGTTGAGCATCAGCAGCCTCCGGAAGAACTGCTGGCGGAAAAGATACAAAAGAAGAAGCAACTCTTGGCAGCTCAGGATTATCTGTCTGACGCCAGGCTCGGGAACGTCACAGTGATCAATAACGAGCTCCATATTCCAATCAAGTTTCTTCCTTCGAAGGAGTATTCGAGTTATCCTTACATATCTTGGTATAAAAACAAGGACGATCCCCGAAGTTCGTGGCCGTCTGCGGATTTTCCAAACCACGAGAAAATAGGTAAAGAAAAATTAGCAGAAAGTGAATGCCCATAAACGCTATTCGGAAATTTTGCCCGCAGTCAAGTGGCGAATCCTCCCGCCGATTTCAAGTAAAAAATATCAACCGCTCACGCCTCCACAAATGGCCCACACAAACCCCGTCGGTGCAGATGAGACCCACGTTACAGAAGGTATGCAAGAAAATGAGGTGGATCTAAATCCTAAAAAATCACGTCGCCAACTTTTCACGACAAACGTAATTACACTACATTGATGATTATGAGGCAAGTCAAAAGGGGGATATAAAATACATACTGGCGTAAAGGGGGGAAACAAAACATTCAATTTTTTGAATAACCACAACTTTCTACAGCACCTTCGTAAAATATGATTTAAAATCGGATTTCCAGAGCAAATCCCAGGTAAAGTTTGTTCATTACTCACAAAACACTGCGGCAAAAGCTACGAACCCCCGTCTCTTCTATGTTGACATTGAAAAATACTTTCTTCGGACATTTCCCGGGTGTCGGCTAGATCTTTCCCAACAATTTATTTTGTTTTCTAACCATGTGGATGTTCGAAAGACAGTCGGATTTTTCCATTTCTTTCACTACACAAATCATCTATTCGTATCAGTGAAAAATCTGCTTTTGAGTAAATTTCCACGTACAGTACTTCGTTCTGCGATATTCTCTCATGTTGAAGCGACAGAAGGAATACAAGGCGCGATCATCTCAGACGGACTTAATTTGAGCTTTCATTCAAGACCTATTTTTTCACAGGTCTCACAGCCTCACAGGTTTTCATTATGCCAAATTTGTACGCCAAATTTGTTTGATCATCAATTAAACCCTGTAAATGTGCCGAAAGGCGGCCAAACGCCTAGTCACGTAATGATATCGAAACACAGAATCAAACAAACGTCGGTCAGGATCCATTAGTGCGTGGAAGGACAAGGCGAAAAAGTTTTTTGCTATCAAAAAGATTGCAAGCAAGAGGTTTATGTCCAACAAAGGCAAAACAGAAGAGGACAGCACATCTCCTCGAGACTCCATGACAGAAGCACCGGAAAGCAGCAAAAACATCATACAAGAGAAGAAGTATTTACCATCCTTCGTTTCACTGGAATCTGAGAAATCAGAGCTGAAAGACACAGTTCCTGATGATCCGAGAACAAGTACTTATTTTTATTTAATTCAATACGTTGTGAATGACATTACTAAATCGAAGCAAAACCCGCTTTTTAGTTATGGGGAAGGTGCTGTTCGTTTCCCACGCCGTTATACGGGATCTTGGGGCAAAGGGACTCGGTGAAATCAATTTCATCCCTTCTAGTGAGTACAAAAGCAACCTCAATAACCAAAAACACCGGGATTCCAATGTAATTGTTTGACAGAACCAACCATGACCCATGTTATGGAGCCGACAGACAGAAGTTCCCCACCTTCGAATTCCATCTTCAAACCAATTCATGGGGTCGGACAGAACTTCTGGAATCCTCTGCAACGAGAACATCACATGATCGTTAACGTTTCTAGAAGTTACAGCCATTCCCAGGATATTTCACAAGTGACAGGCCGCATGAGCCAGGATTTTTTGGGTCCAACTGACGATTTCAACCGATTAGACGGTTTTGGCCCTTATTTAAATCGACAGTAGCTGATGAGTCTTGGTCTAATTTTATTCAAATTTTCTAGAGCTAACCAACAAGTATTCAAATCCGCTCAGAGAAGCGGGAGCGGGTTCAGATCTGAACAGACGGGTTGAAATGGATGCGTTCTTTCCTTCCGAAACGGGTCACAATCCGAAGAAGAAAGGAAATCGAAGTTCATCTAGACAACGTGGTAAAATGCTCGAATCATTTCAAACTACAGGGTCAAAAATCGTGAAAGTTGAGCGTGTCTAAGATTCGCAAAACGCTTCCCAAAACGGCAGGTGTGCGCGAAGAGGGGGCGAAAGGAAATTGCATCCACTACAGAAAATTAAAAGCCATTGGCGATCAAAGATATGGATATTTTCCATCTATTTCTTGCATTTTAATATTTTTGCCCAAAAAAATCTGAGGTGAAAAAGCTAATCGAAGATTTTCTATTTTATTTTCAAAAATAAAGAGATCGCTCAAAGTACCTGTCGCTTTGGACAAACGTTGGTGCGCACACATTTTTGGTACGATATACTAGGAAAAAATCGACTGTGTGATTAAAATTTCTGAATTCATTCGCAAATTTCAACTGGCCATTTCTTCAAGTGGAATTTTGTAATTTCATTGCAGACTCATCGCAAAGGAATCGAGCTACATTCCAGGTTAATGAACTGCGTCAAAGAAAATCCAGACCAACGAAACCGAAAACAAAATCCAATGAATTGTTGGTGGATAGTTATCAGCCAACCTCGTCGGCTAAGCAACTGGATAATCGTTCAGTTTCTATGCACAAGACTCGCACGCTGCAGACTGCACACTACAATCGTATCTTGTACGTATCAGCCATGGAGAAGAGCACAAAACGGGAAGTGAAGAAGAACCGGAGAATGAACCCACATTCGGCACAACCACAAGATGTTCAAGATGGTCAAACGAGTTCCTCCGTTTTAGCTAGTCGGAAGGATGTGAAAACTTTGCTGGTTCAAATTACTTCTCCAGATCAAGTGCCGGTCAATCTCAAGGCTTGCATTCAACGCTTGCCTCTGAACGAGACTCTACTGACAGATGCGTCATTTGGCTCTTCAATAAGAAGTAAGTTGGAATCCTGGGGCTCACTTGAATTGGTGTAACACATGGAGAGGGGTTTCTTCAGAATAATGCTCGCCCTCAGACAAAGATTAAATCACTTTTCCAAAAGAATATACAGTATGAACGTGCTGATGACAATGCAGCAATTTTGAACCCATTCCAATGAAGTTCACCCTCGTTTCCTACAAGTTTGAGGGATCACTCAATGTTCCCAAGGTATTTCAAAAATATTGAGGGATAAAATGAAATAAATCTATTATGATAGCTATACCATGCGCGGGATTCTTTCAAGTCACTTTTTTATTATTGCACAGCGAGGAAAGGAAATGTCTACGTTTTGATTTTGATAAAGAACGCATGAAGATATTTCGAAAAAAAAAAGTGGTAGAGTACATGGTTCTTTCTTCACTTTCTCAAACTAATTGGCCATCAATGGTTACATGAAAGCATTCCTCATGGCACAACTCAATTATATTTCACATGAACTATTCTTCAAATGTCTACTTCACCATATGACAGTCCAACTTTCCAATCTTTTTCTGCGTAGTCCATTTCTCAGTGCTCTAGGGTACGAGGGTTCTAACAAAAGTTCTCGGAATGAAAATGAAGATGGCGTCTAATTGAGCTGGAAAAAAAGTATTCTTTAGGGCAACCATATTCTCTGGCACAAAAAAAATCAGCCCAGTTTGACAATTTTTTTCAATTTTTTTCAAAATTTACCCTGGCAGAGTTTTGCTATACAGATGAGGCACCCTTCCTACAGCTTTTTTTTTTTGTGGCCCAGTTTCCCCCTCAGAATTCTTGAAATCAACTTGGGATTTTCTCTAAGGGTTGCCTCCAGGTCATCTAAGGCAATTCCGCCATTTTCATCGACAGCCGCTGTCACAGCCGCCGCCGTCACAGCCGCCAAAGTGGCGGCCACTTTTTTTCCAGCTCAAAAGTGGCGGCTGTGACGGCGGCTGTCGATGAAAATGGCGGAATTGCCTTAGATGACCTGGAGGCAACCCTTAGAGAAAATGCCAAGTTGATTTCAAGAATTCTGAGGGGGAAACTGGGCCACAAAAAAAAAAAGACTGCAGGAAGGGTGCCTCATCTGTTGAGTGTATAGCAAAACTCTGCCAGGGTAAATTTTGCAAAAAATTGAAAAAAATTGTCAAACTGGGCTGATTTTTTTTGTGCCAAAGAATATGGTTGCCCTAAAGAATAATTTTTTTCCAGCTCGATTAGACGCCATCTTCATTTTCATTCCGAGAACTTTTGTTAGAACCCTCGTATGATTATTGACCTGCACAACTGTGCGAGTATATCAACAAATTTTCTTCGGGATTTATATTCAATCCCCAATCTTGGTCTTGTCGTTGAAAATGTACATGATCAGTTCATGGTTTTTTTTTTTCAGAACTCACAAATCCGCACATGTAAATTTGGCAATTTAGCCAAGGGCGAGCAATTATAAAAAAGTCTATGAGATGCATACAATTGTACAAACTCAGAAGAAACTCCATATTACGTAATACATGTGTTTTACAGTATTATAATTATAGATTCGTTTTTACAACGATTTCCTCTGTACATAACGATTTTTTGTGGTTCCATGGATTTCTCTACCAACTACATAGTGGTTCTCAACGAAGAAATTCATTTCCGCAACAAATTTTTCTGGTCCCCTGTAATTTCGTTGTAGAGAGAGTCCGCCTGTGCATCTCAGTAATACACATTTGAATCACAATGCGTGGAACCTATTATTTAATCACAATACGTGAAATATACTATTTTCTCAGGTAGTCACGCGTCCCAATCGCTGCCGAACTGCAAAAATGAACCACCTTGGAAGCAGAAGGCGTATTCGAGCAAAAAAACTCCACATTCGCGTAGCACCAGTTCAGCTGGCTTTGCCCTTAAAAGAAGAACATCCTTTAAATGGTCAGATTCCAGCAGTGCTAAAACTGCTCGAAACGAATCAAACGACACAGAGGAGCTCGTCGAATATGAATACATCGAAGAGCTAGAGGATGAATGCAACTCCTTGGATGACACCGGTGCCAAAAATGAGTTCTTGGAAGAATGCGTGGTTGAGTACGAGGATGAATGGATGGAGGAAGTTGATGAGGAACTCGATCGAGATGATTTGGAAAATAAGGTGTTCCCATTGCAACGGCAAACGTCCATCAACAGTTTATCCTTCCCATCCAGGGCGTCGCGATCTTCACAGGGAAGGACTCTGAGCAAAGTTTCTGGCTTGACTTCTGAACGAACCTTGGCTTCTGGAGATTTTCCTTCATCTGCTACGGATGACGCTACTGACAATCACTTGCTACTCCACTCCGTTCCTTGAAATCCGCCCCATCCAGAATTATGTTTGAAAATTTATGTTCATACCGACAACATTCTTTACAAATGTTTTCCCTTTTTTCTTTTGTTCTCTCGTCCGTAAATTGATCCCAATGTACTTCAGAATCAATACATTCCGCCAAGCTTTCCAATTCATCAAATCAATCGCATTCTACGAGTTATTTCGTTACGATCACAATTTTCCAAGGGCTAAGCTGTAATCCTTCCTAATTGATGAAGCCACGATACTCAATGACGAAAAAACGTATAATGGTGTTCTTCGATTCATCATCGATAATCAATTACTGCTTGAAATCTCAGTATAGTTCCTTATCCGCTGGAAGAGTATTTTTCGTGTTCGTTTATCTAAACTTTTTTTGAATATCAGGCGGCTGAATCCAGTTTACTTGAAAATAATGAAGCAAGTGTCTTATATTTTAATGACTTCAAGGGATTCCAGAGAAATGCGGGTATTTTGAGGAGATAACATAATTACATTAATCTATTCATTCGCGAAGTATTATTGATTACTCTTGCCTGAAGCAGAGGAGACGGAATGGAATATACTTTTGGGAACAGAAGTCCCAAGACATTGTTGACGAAGCCAACATTTGATTGAGGAGGTTTTACGATTTACACAGGATACTCAGGAACGGACGAAAACCTTGCGGAAGAATGTTGGTCATTCAAATCGAAGTGTTGAGTTTCCGCGATCGATTAAAGGTCGTGAATCTCTTGTGTCGCCACCACTCGTTATCTGTTGTAGACTCTCTGCGTCGCTTCCTTCGTCGTCCACACGTGAAGCAACTTCTGGACATTTTCATCATTGTCGACTTGATTCTGCAGTCAAATCCACGTTTTAATCCCAATGTTGCGTCCGAGACACAGACAATTTTCATGCTCCATCGCCCAGGGGCTGCATTTGTCAAATCTTGTCGTCGTCGTCCTGGTTGAGGTTTTTCTTATTGGCGGTGAGGCCAAGACTGTGGTGAACAAGGTTTCAGTAGATGTCGCACCAAGGTCTTTGATGTGTCTGCACCAGGATGTCGTGGACGGTGAACAGATCACGGCCTTCTTTGTTATCGCGCCGAGGGCATCCATTTATTTCGATAACGATGGACATCACTATGAATACACTGTTGTCCAGGTGCCAGGTGAATGAATTCGAGCGATATTTTCCTTCGTTAGATCCATGCTTAAAGCAAGAATTTAAAAAATGATTCGAGTCACACTGACTTGATACTTCCACTGAAATTAACGAGGTGCTGTGCACGCATGAACGTTTAAAAAAAATATTTACGATTCAATTATCGCATATTTATGCATGTCCTATCCAGCTAAAGCTTTCGACGTTTCTGTGCAACCAATGACACACCAACGTACAGGGCTGTAAAATAAAACTTTCCATTTTAATCTGTTTCCGTGGACTATTAAAAGATTGTATGTTCAACAGCATTTGAACGTTATTTTCACCTTTGTAACGTTAAAATTAAAGATAAGTCTTGGAACATTGCTGAAAATATGCAACTAATTTATTTTATTGAATGAAAAATTCACAGTACTTTCCAAGTTCTCCAGTGATGACTAGAAAATGAACATCTGCGAAATTCGAAACGTTATACTCGCTGGAAAATACTATCAACTAGAAAACTTCGTCTCATGTTTTATTTTTTCAATCCAATAAATTAATCTTTTAAACGAAGAAGTGCAGGACGGTTTTCTAGATAATTGTATATTGATGATTCAGTCCAATGGGGTGTAGATTCGAAGTTGCTTGTAATTACCGACCGATAGTGTAGATAGTAGAACACGAAATGAACTGCATTATAGCTTCAATCTTGACCCAACAACTTTAATCTTGGCCAGGCAAGAGTGTCATTCATCGGCTCAAATTGCTGTATTTTTAAACTTGAAAAAATTGCACACCTCCCGATTTCGGTTGTTATTCAGTTCAAAGATTGCAGATGACCATAAAGGAGTAAATTTGTTCATCTTTCGAGTTTCATCAATATGTATTGAAACACCTAGTATGTTTGGAGTCAAATCAGTTTTGGTATTAATGTACTGTACTGTATTAATTTTTAGCGAATTTTTTGAATGAAAATTTCATCCCGCCTCAGCCTTTTTTAAAATGCCCGTAATCACATTGAACGAATTCAAGACGGAACTGACCCTTCAAAAAATGACTGTATGGATCTCGGAACTGAGTTTACTTTCAATGTTCGCTGCTGCAGTCCTTCGAATATTTCAATTTTGCCTAAATTCTTGCGATCCACCAAACATCACACTCAAACTACTCGAAGTTATATTTTTGTTGAAACACTATCATCCCCGAAAGCAAGGAATATGCCAAACCCATATTACAGGGACTATTTTCAACATCTAACTAAAATAATCGGAATGAATCTTGATGACCCCTGACCTTCCACAGCTGATCAGAGGGAAAAGAACCAGGTGAAGATGCGGGAATCATCCCGCAGACAAGGACAGTTGAATTTAGACGTGAAAGGAAATTCCACTCTCAATTTCTGCCTGGACGCGAGTCGTGTGGATGCTGCTACAATGTTTACATTGGGTCTGAGCATCGTCTCTCGGCAGGTGGCATCTGTGACGAGAGATCAATTCCTCGACATTGATTCTGATTTCGTGAGACCGGTCTTCAAGATTCAACCGTAAGTCGCTGAATGCTTCCCCGTGCCCCTTTTCTTAGAGAATTTGATCGGTTTCGGTTGATGAAAGCAGAGAAGAGGCTGGCGGTCAAGATGCGCTGAAAATCGTCTCACGTATAAGTGCGAAGATGCACCGAGCTTTTCAGCTTTTGAACGAGTTCCGTGATTTTGAAAAGTTGGGTCGGTTACGGGCAGAGGAAGCGTTTGAGCGGGTCAACAAGTGGTCTTTGCTTCAAGTGAGAATCCTTCATAGACTGATACTCTCCTAGTTAGTTCGGTGAGCGTCTCAATTAAAGAAAATACACCTGAATGGAAATTGAACGTGGTCAGGCGAAATTGAAGATAAAACCACATGGTTCGTAATTTCATACCAACTTGAACAGCCCAACGGACACACACAGTACTTTATAAAAGTATACATGTTCATGAACCAGCATGAAGACTGCATGCAAAGTAAATAAAAACGGAAATTTTAAAAACTGTATTCAAAAATAATCAATCAAACCTGGTCCAGCTCACGATACTGATGTTCAATGTTTCTTTCTCTTTAAATTTGAGAATTCTCTTACTCTCCATGTAAAAAAATAAATAAATATCCAAAGCCAGCCCAAAAAGAACAAGTGCACAACACTGAAAGTTTCAGGGAGAAAAGTCTACTTGTTTATGCCGAAAGTCTCTTTATTACACCTGCTCTTTTCGTTGTAGTTGCTCATTTGATCGTTGATATTTTTGCTTCCTCGCATGAGAATTCCTCGTTTGCACTATCGCGGTATACAATTTCAAATTCTGAACCTTTTGGAACATTTTAATCTGTTACTCGGAATTTTACATCTTTCACGAGTTGGAAGTTGATTTCCGGTTTCCGCAGGTCGTTGTTATGCTGGTGACGGCGTTTATTCAGATCTTCACAATTAAAAGCTTATTCGACTAAGCCTGAAAATACATGGAATTATTGTTTGTTGAATCGTCGTTTCTTTCACTTTCAAAACGCACGGAATAAACGTTAATGCATTTGTTCTTCTCTTTTCCAGTACTTGGCGCGAAGTCCGGCCTTTTTTCTTTCAATTTAAATTTATCCCCTTAACTAATAATATTGTTTCCTGGAAATGCGAAACTATATTTCAATAAAAATTAATCACGCGGAAAATTTAAAATTCAGTGCCGATTTAACCTCTGCCAATCGAGCCGAATAACTAGCCATTCTTTCCAAAAGGGATTAACTATTTTTCGAATTGATCGACTTGATATATAAATAAATTGGCGAATAATTAGATCTTTAAATCATGTGAAACATGTTGCTTATCTATCTTGCTACTCACTTGAAGGGTATTAGAATTTTTATAGAATTTCACAACTATTTTATTCCGTCCGCACTGACGTGATGCATGAATCTGAATCGTCAGATTTTGCTAAATACACATAGCAACAGACCATTGGATTTTTCCCGAAGTTATACGACACATGGATGTCAGGAAGTCGAGGAACCAAACCAAAAAACATATGCCGCTTAAATCGCAGAGGCGCCATACCAGGGTACGTATGGTCTTGAAAGGTAACTCCCTGTATTGCGTAAAAGTTCAGATTTAATCAAGTTATCGGGATTTTCATCGACAGTATTTTCAAAAGCTGCAAGAATGGTACAGGTTTTAAAGAAGTGAAAATTTCCTTCAGGGGAAGGGTTTCCTTAGATGGGACGCATTTTTTTCATGCAATCCGACGCTTAAATCATAAACCGTTAGTTGTACGATCTATATGATGGACCCACTGTCAATTTTACTTAGCCTCATTTTTCGATCGTAGGTATTTTCTCACTTTTCCGACGAGAAGGTCGGATCAGTATCGTATAACACACAACGTGGTTGACCAAATAAGCTTCGTTTCCCTAAATTCAACTTCGAAGCTTATATCTAAATTATCCACTCCAAAAAACATAAGTTAAGGTAAACTTCTTTTGTCGAGTTGGGCCACAATTTTTTTCGAAAACTGTATATTGCTAAAGCGAATGGTACACGAGACGCGAGACGCCCAGACCACAAAATTGGGGCGAGGCGCATACTTTTCACCAGCAGGAAGAAGTCAGAAGTGTCACTTGCAACCATACACTACTACTGTACCATGTTTACTCTCGACAAAATGACGCGAACAGCCGCAATGAGTTAACAAAAAGTTATTCCCTCAACATCGGGCCACCATTCCACCATCAGAATCCCAGTATATACACGCGCAGGCTAACTCACGTGCGATTGAATGTGCTACGTACGTCCGAATTTCGAAAATGAATATAAAATTTACTCACTTCATTGGACTGATGTCTGGAACGAGCTTGGACGGGGTTGATGGTGTTCTCGTGACTTTTCGTCCGGAAGAACAGCACGCAGCAGGTCCGGCGAAGAATTTCACGAAAGTCATCAACTGGAGCCACGTTGAATTTCCTGAACAGCTACATCATGCGCTTCTTGAACTCCAAGCACCCGGAGACAATGAACTTCACAAATCCGCCTTAGCAGCAAACGATCTGATGCGCGTATACGCGGTGTGTGTAGAAAACCTAATCGAGAATCGGAACATTCCACGGGAGCATGTGTTGATCGGTGCGCATGGTCAAACTGTTCGTCATCAGCCAGGTCTGTTATTTCCGATAACGCACAACGGCTTATTTTAAGGGCGCTGGCACGTTTTATAACGAAATTTTACACGCACTAAAATCGGGGTTTAACTCCTGTTTGATGGTGTCTTGAAAATCCCCGTACCAAAAATACGAGTAATGAAGAGGAGATGAAATGAGTTCACTTAAATAATCAATACTGTACTGTACTTCTTGACCTAATAGAACATTTTAATGCATTGACTGCACTTTTCTTTCCCTGACTTCCCGATGGAACCGAAAAACTAAGACCCAACTTTTTCCCCATCAGGACTTGGCTACACTATCCAATTGATAAATGGAGCCCTTCTCGCAGAATTGACGAGGATGAACGTGGTGTGTGATTTCAGAAGCAGAGACATAGCAGCCGCGGGTCAAGGTGCTCCTCTCGTTCCTGCTTTTCATCAGCTAATGGCGAAGTCGATTGAAATGCAGGAAACAGTCTCCTTGTGCAACATCGGAGGCATTTCCAACATTACCGTAATTCCACGCAACGGAGACGGTACTATAATTTTCTTTTCAACTTTCACTGTTCGTTCCACCGAAATATATTAAGTCATACTACTGTACACGTGGACTCCCTCAAGATCACAATTCAAGGGGGAAAATTCGTTGTAGAAAACCCATATCATAACAAGGGGAGAACGAATTTTTGGAACATTCCCCATCTGTTACACCAAAATACATTACGTCATACTACATGTGGACTCTATAAAACGCAATTCAAGGGGAAAAATTCTTTAAGAATCCTTATGAAGTTATAAAATGGGAGAAAACCCCATGAGACCATAAACAAATTAGAAAATCGTTGCTGACAAGATCGTTGAGAAAAGGACCCCATTGATTAAGGAAATGCTCTGCGTTTTCCGGTTCAGGGGAGTGTTTGATGTCACTTGCAATTCTATTCTTTCCGTGACCGAACAGAAGAGCGTCTTTGAAACAGCGCATTAAAATAACAACAGAGGTACAGCACGAAAACTGTGCAAAAACCTTTACAAAATAATAAAACACAAGACCTTTCTCCATGATATACCCATTAGCGTCCAACAATGACGAACTTCGTCAAATATAAAAGTTACCGTAGTAACGTCACCAACAGAAGATACTTTTTTGGCGCTTTTCTTCGCTTCTCTGGCTGTTGATTTTTTAAATTTCGCTTCCACACTTGCTAAGTTTTACCGAAATCAATCCAAACTCTGGATTACCTACGTATTATTTACATTAAAAACGCTTAGTTTATTTTAGGAGCAACAACTGCACAAAGAATTCAATTCTCTAAGTAAAAGAAGTTCGGGTGAATTTTCAGTTTTTGGCTATGACTGTGGTCCAGGAACCGTTCTGATCGATTCATGGACACAGACGATTCAAAAACTGCCGTTCGACCGAAACGGAGGATGGGCTGAAACAGGTCGCGTAAATGAAAGCTGGCTACGCGAATTACTGCAACACGAATTTTTCCAGCTGAAGCCTCCAAAAAGTACAGGCCGAGACTTGTTCAATCAGCAATGGCTCACAAGGTCATTGAAAAATAGACCGGAAATGGAACCGCGCGACGTTCAGGCAACTCTCACGAAGCTGACCGCATCAAGCATAGCAAATGAACTCAGAAGATGCGCAGTTAAGCAAGGTTGCACGCTGATCGTTTGTGGCGGCGGAGCGAAAAATGAATTTTTGATGAAGTGTTTGAGAACCGAGCTAGAATCAGTGTTGATTCTCACATCTGACCAGGCTTGTGGAATCCCAGTGGATCAAGTTGAAGCAAGCGCATTCGCGTACCTCGCTTTTTTGTTTTGGCAGGGAAGAAGTGGCAATTACCAGAATGTTACAGGGGCAAGTGGCAACCGGATACTCGGGTGCTGGTATCCACGTTAATGCAATTGACTTACTTGATGTCACAAATTCCCATTTCTAGAAAATATGATTCCTATTTTCCATTCTCCGAAACATGGACTAGGCTTATTCTTACATTAATGTTACCTGGACTCGAGCTTGATCTGGGCTTTATGCTAAAAGAGGTTCATGAAAACTGCGTCAAGGCAAATTTTAAGAATTCGTCAGTTTCATGGGAAGACGGTACATAACAAAATTACGTCGGTACAACGCGAACAACTTTGACAATGAAATCAAGAATCACAGAAAACGCATTATATTCCTAAAAGCTCGGAAATATTTTCATTCAAAGAGACTATGAATTTCTACTGAATTTATCGCAACGAAATACTTTCTAATTCCGAAACAAGATCCATATGCTTAAATTCGTTCGGACTCTTGGTGAATCGTTGCAAGAGCTGATATTTCTTCGAGTCTTTGCCGTCGTAGTAGAGTTGAATTTGATTCACGAGACACCTTGCTTCGATGGCAGACTGACAATGAAAATAAAATCAGGATTTATGTCCGACTACTTCGTCGAATCAATCTCACCAAAACGTTCTTGTCGTATTCTCCTCGCATGAGCACAATTCCGTGTTCATCTCTGAAGTCAGGAAAGAACGATAGCGACAAACATTCAGGCGCATTTTCTTGGTGAGCCTGAAAACGCGGATTAAACAAAACATTAGGGCACTTGAATTAAAACTACGGTCTGAGTTCGATTTCCAAACTCTGCGTAACACATCAACGCTGAATTGAATGCAAAGAGAAATACAGCCCAGGATTTCAAATCTTCTCAACATCAGAAGTACAGTTTTACCACTTCCTCCGAACGGTGAAAATTCAAGTAGATCAGACTTGTTGGAGCTTCTCAAAAGATGGAACCATGAATCCAAATCACCTGATAGTTGATCAACGATGTGAAGTGAAACTCCTCGGAAGAAAACTGCACAACAAAAAATTCATAACCGTTTTCCCTCGGCAAAGGCAGCAAAAACTGGAATAATGAAAAATAAATAAATACTGTAATTATTTGATCTTATTTTTCTCGAGGAGTGATCTCAATATTGATTCACCATCGGAAAATGCGTGCCATTTTCCTCCAAACATGAGTAACTTTCGCAAGGAACAACTGCGCCAATCAAACAGTCTTTGTTGGAGTGATATTCCGACCAAATCTTAAAAAAATAATTCACAGAGGTCATTTAAATACGACACACAACTTGAGTCTATTTCAACTTACATCAACGATTTCCGTCTTGGTTTTCCCGGTCAATAATTCCATTTTCACCACTTGGCTCAATGTCTACGATAAAATTTATCAAGGTTAAAATGCATGAAAATTCTCGAGTGATTTTCCAACATGCATACCTTCTTGCGATAACCAAGAATTTCATTTCTCGCTTGACCAGGTTGAGTGCTAATTTTTCTGCTGTCAGTTCTTGATTCCTCTGTCTTTCTGATCTTCACAGAATTCTCAATTCTCGCCAGAAATTCGTTCGGTGACGTCCTGAAAGATAGGAGCTACAAATAATATGACACCCCTTTTTCAAATACGCCACTCACTGCTTCAATTTCGCAATTTTTTCCGAGTATTTCTCGAAGTAGGGATTGGTTTGCAGCTTCTGAAGCTCCTCTTGGAAATTCATCCTGGAAAGCTGGAGAAATCGGACGCTCTTCAAGGACCAAGAAGCACAAGGGTACAGTCTTAATCGGCAAGAATTTTCAAATAACATGCGAAGCATTCTGTCGAGAAACCATCACTCTATCAGCTTTTTTTTCAAGCGCGGGACGGGAAATGATACACTCACTGGACAACAATTTCTGCATTCTCGCATTTACTCAAACAAATACTTCCATCATGAGACAGATTTCCAGACAGGGAGCAATCATGCTTCGAATGGACAAAAAGAGAGAGAGAAATGAGGCCGCACGATCACCGGGAGGAAAAACGTACATCTGAGACGATCAATGATGGAGGCTGGCGCGATTACAATACATTGCATTCGAAGAATATGCGTCTTCGAAAAGCCAGCGGAAAATAATATAATAAAATTTGGGTCCAACGGATTATCACGATCATCACCCATGGTTCACTTTTCCCAATCCTTCTTTTGAAAAAGAAAATTTCAACTTCACAAGCTCGTGGTAGATAAAAGCTTCCGTAAAAACAGAATTGAGGCAAACATTCCAGACATAATGGCGGCGAACATCCCCAAATATCGGCATATGTTTCAGAAAATGCTCTGGGAATCTTGAGCGGTATGACTATGGGCAAACTGACGCTAGAAAACCCAACTTCAGCGAGCTATTTCTACGCTAAGGAAAAATAACCAAACGAAACCCAATTACCCAAAAAAACCAGATCTTGTGAACTCACTTCACTTTTAGTGAAAGTCACTTTGGTGAGAGGGACGCTATAAATCGGCTTTCAAATGTTCTTCAACGTCGAATCAGGACTTCTTCCGTAGAATGTCAGCCTTCCCATCTCTCAACCAACAAGAAGTATTGATTCTCTACTCGGTCAGGGTTGTCAAACTGCATGCATAATGGCTCTGCCAAACATCTTTTCTTCTCACAAAGCCCTGTATTGTACTTCCGTTTTAGCATGTCCGACTTCGATTTCACGATTCCCGGAAGTCAAGCAAGCCTGGACATGAATTAGGGTGGCCTTCCAAGATTTCCATTCGAACCACATCAAATGAACAATTGAATTTTCATACAAAATCTGTTCATACACAGCCTTAGGCGAATAAATGCGCCTAAAAATATATGCCAGATCATAGAAAGGAATGTTATATTCAGACATTTACAACTAAGAAGACCGCGGCAGCATGAGATAGGACAGGATTCATTTTTAGTAAATACAGATATTTTTCAAAACCTTCGAACATTAATTTAACAAAGCGAGCCTTCCATTACTGTTACTGTATAATCAAAATTTATAATCGCACTTATTTACTAATTTTTCACAAAGATCCAGCGCAAACTTAAATATTAAATTCACAACCTCGGATAAATTTCGGGGGAATGAACCATATGCTAGATTGATAAACATGCAACCAGTTTCCAAGTTCTTCGCTTCCTCATTTGAGATACACAGCACATGATAATCCGTAAAGGAAGTTCAAGATTACGAGAACGTTTATTCTTCAGGAAAAACGGGTCAACATTTTCAGCTTATTAGCTAAAAGTATAACATAATTTGAGGAAATCCTCGTTTACGACCATTTTATTTCTTAATTTTCTCGGAGCTCCGTCTATGGCCAAAGATGAACAAGGAATCGAATACTGTATTGTACTTACGGCCAACGTTGCTCAATTCCAAAGCAATAAAACAAGAAAAATTCATACTTTACAAGACAATCCTGCTTTCCAAAACCGGTAATGGTAGACCCTGCACGGACTATACAATACTCAGGGAAAAAAAAGTAAATGCATCCATCGTAAAGCATGCACAAATGTAAAAGAGGGAAGATCACGGACGCCCCAACAGGAAACGGTGAAGTACAATTCAAGGCTTGATTGATGAGCGCAAAATCAGTTTAGGGTAATCCTGCATTGCAGTTGGTCAATCCTACACGTTTATTTCGAGGATACAGATGCAATTTTTCATAGTTATGATTTTCAAAAACAACCACTCGGATAAATTCTGGCTGAAGCTATAAATCTGGAGGATCAACCGATCGAACATGTCACAGCACAATCTACAAGCAGACTCAACAAAGGAGCTTAAAATTATTTTCGCAAGTTCATTGTTTCGAAAAACAATCGCAAGAAACGTGCCGATATAAGGGAATGCAACATCGATCTTGGACAAACATTCCTGTCGCCAGAAGTAATGCCAGAAAATTAAATAAAAAAATCTTTCGACATTCACCTTCATGAATTCCTCTCTTACGTTTGTACTCAAAGTAAATACCACGATTCCGTTTTGTTCCTGTTAGGTTCGCGACAACCAGAACTGATTCTACTTCAGAAGCTCGTTGAGCACAGAACACGAGAGTACACAAGGATTCTCGGTCAGTTTGTAAACACTCTTTAAAATTAGGTACTTCGTGGAACCGAGATACAAGGGGTGTGCATTGGTACTGTATTTTTATCATGTCGTAATGGAAACACAGCTACCCATGGCGGACCTACGATCAAATGCACTGCAGTGATTCACGTATCTTGCAGAGATATAATCGGGTTCAACGCACTAGGAAGCATACCACATCGACCGTGATTCTTGGATTCCGTCACCAGTAGTGGAGCTAAGGAATAGATTGTATACAGACTTGACCTGACGAGCTTCAAACCAAAACGTTAATCTAGTTGTCGAACACAGCACTTGGCTTTCGCAGGGAAGACTACACCCATGCATGAGATGAGAGAAATTGTTATTCCCATTGAAAACACGGTTTTTCCCCAATAGAAGATGTCGTTACTTCAGTGGGATTCTTCGGGTTCATCGGCGTCGGCTTTTCGGAACGGTCCTGGCGTCAAACCCTCGAAATAATAATGCGGACAGCTGAGGTATTCCTTCAGTTTCCCAGGCAACGGTAGTTGAGGAATGAGATCTTTGCGCAGATGTCGAACTATCACAAATCTATAATGACGGAAACATTGAATTAAATTTCTATCACGATCAAATTCGCGATGATTTCCGGATTTCAATTCAAACCGGCAATATCCAGATTTCTCTTCGTCGAGTTCTAGCGAATAAATTTACTATCGGAGAGCTAAGTAAGGTTAAACTTGAGTTTACGGTCGCTCACTCACATGCCAAGACGAGGACCATCTCCCGTTCATTAATTTGACTATTGAGGCGACAAGAACGCAACTAAAGATGCTTAAAATATTTTTTCGCCAAATTTTTCGGAGACTATATTTTTGATCAGATTTTCCGATGCTCCTAAATTATCAAACCACAAAAGGGAATTGAAGAAAATTTTATGAAATTTGATGAACGAATTCCACATACTTTCAAATACGGAATATGTACTACATGAGTTAAACGGTAATAATAGAGAAAATCCCACTTTTGAAACTAATGAATGTGAGGAATGCTGTATTGACTAAGACAGTGGCATTGAAATGATTTTCGAAAAAATTAATGGGGGGGGGGGGGGGGGTTTGTATCTGCACTCTGACGCAGTTTTCACAAAATTCAGGAACAAAATCTAAGATTATGGACATCGCAATATTCAGCAGGACATGTTACCTGCAAAGATGCTGTAATGAGGGAACGCGCTTGAACCTTGACACCGGGTTTATCAGCTGCACTTGCAGCGGACTCTGTCCAGCTCTCCGATGCCAGAAGAACAAAAATCGTCCGCTTCTCGAATGTTCAACCGCATTTTCAACAAAATCCACAATAGTTCTGCTTCTGAACTTAGAACACGAGCCAAAACTAAAATTTCCTGCAGAAAAATTCCACAACTTGTATTGCTGCACTTTCTTATTACTCACCAGCAAACGCACTGGTGACTTTGGTCACTTACCGTGATCATGGTCGATCCTCACATGCTTGATGTTATTGCAAAATTTGAAGGACAACGAGAATATATAATGACTATCAGACGAGTCTCGAACAATGAACGACCCATCCGGTTCTTCACTCAAAACGTTTTCCGCCATTGTTGAGCTTATCGGCCCCCAGTACCAACCATACTGCAAAAGACAAGAGAAAAAAAAAAAAAAAAAAAAAAAAAAAAAAAAAACCATGAAAAATATTACTTTTATCAACATCGAAAGAAAACGAAACATAATTCAAGTGAAAAAACTCAACTGATAAAAATATAAATTTTGAAAACTGAATATAATGGGCACGTTCATTAAGCACCAATGTAAATTCTTTTGGATGAACATTCTTTTGTGGATCTAGCAACACAAAAGCTCCGTGTGCGTTTGTGAATTGAGGGCATTTCAATTTGGCGGGGAAAGGTTCGCAGTGAAAAATCAACACCGAGAAACTTAAAATTTTAAATAAAATTTTCAATAAAACTTGTATTTTCATGTCAAACAAAAATAAGCAAAAGAACTCACATCTTTCACGCGCTCTATATTTGAAGCACAATCTCCTGTTTCCTCACATAGCGGATTACCCAATGAAGAATCTTCCGGGTTAGATAACACTTGTGTAGCACCTGAGGACGGCGATGATGATTCACCCTCCGACCCAATCAAAGAAGAAGTTCCAGAAGAAATCACGACGGCGCCAAATTCAACGGGTCGAAGACATGAAGGTGGCTCATCAGATCTTCGCCCTATATTATCCCCTCCAGTCCACCAATGCAACCGACTCCTTCTATGCCGACCAGCCATAGCTGCGTGACCTCTCGATTCTGGAAAAAACCGTACTACTGAAATCAGTTCACAACATAAGTTTCATATGACTAGCATGGTCCTTGAGTACTGAATTCCGTCATTGACTCAAAAGCATTTCATCATCAAGCAAGTTTCTTCGAGACAAAACTACCAACACTTCGAAAGAATATACAGTAATTAAAGGGTCCGAAGTATTTTCAGGCGCACAAGAAATGACCCATAGTCGTAAATGGTAAATCACAGATAAATTACGGTTAAATTTCCCATTCAACAATAGCCCCGGAAGTTCAGATATACAGAAAAATAAGGGTTTTATCGATGTGAAATCGCTCTCTACAGTATTCAGTTGAGATTTTTCATAACCTTTGAAACAGACGGGATCTAGGACTATAGGAGACAGTCAAATTCACGGTCGAGACAGACTATTTGAGACATTTTAAAATATTTCGAGAAAGATACTACAGTATTTGAGACAGTCATGTGAACTAAATCAGTTCTGTATCATGTTGTTTACATTCATGATGATTGTTTTTAGTGTGAGAACTGTGCGATAATTAGGCAATGATCCAATCCCATGTGCAGAACAAGAGATTGTTTTCAGGTTTTTGTTAAAACTCAACTTTTCCTTGCTCTCGTCCCTTCCTTGGTCCATTGCGAACAATTTTATTAGACATGCCATGAAAGAAAAATTAAACGTTATACAGGTTTAGAAAAATAGGTCAAGATGATAATGAAGATGAATATGTATTTGTGCTGTCTCTAATTATCTGCGTTTACATGACCCTGTCTCGACTGGACCCATCTTGAATTGGCCTTGTCTCGAATTGTCTATCCTTTACAGACGAATGTCTTCATCCGTTTTCCCAATTTTTCCATACACCTTGAATTACGGACGATAGGAAAAACGGGAAAATAACCTTCACAATATTATGGTTACATGAAAAATGTGGCCAAGAACTTTTGTCCAACACGTTTTGCACTAGATCTATTGAAACTGTTTTCGAACCCGAAATAATCATGCATTTTCCATGCTCGATATTGAATTCTGCGCCTCATCCCCACACCATGAGATCACATCATTTCTAGATGGGCTTTGGAAAACGCTATGATCTACCGTGGTTGCTGCGACGGTCATCAGGAGGACTGGTGCTCTGTGACCGTCGAGTATCGCGTCGCCGCCCATCACTGGGGTCGGCACTGGATCTCCGCGGCCTTCCGTCTCGTAATTGCAGCCGCAAGAGCAGATTTGGAATGCTCTTCATTCTCCGGGTCCTTCATCCATTCATATTTTCAGCTTCATCTCCGAAGCAACAAACCACCATTCACACAAAACGCGATTTCTTTTCAATGCGACATTCTACTTGCTTCTAAGGAAAAACATTCGAGAATGAATCACAACACTTCACGAGAAACCCGTCAAAAATGCAGTATCCAGAAGATAACCTTCGTCTCTTTCAACGCCTTCGTATCAAGGCCACAAAAATATTTCGTGCTATCAGTTTTCACTCGTTGATATTTTCCGTTTAGCTTAGCGAATTTAATAAATTTGCATGGATGCACTCATCAAAACTCGCCGGAAACCTTGAATCATTTCGGGAAAAATAAAGCCAACGATTGTAGCAATAACCCTACTGAAAGTTGTTTTCGATGATACAACCAAATCATTGAACTCCTCACAACGTGCTCCCAACATAAAAATAAACTTCTCTATCATCGGAATTCCAACTTGAAATCATTCTTCGAATGAATTTGTACACACATGCTGATCAGAAAATTCCCCTTCCAGTCATTCATCTCCACGGAATCACAGGTAAGTTCTCACTAAGCAACCAGTTCGTGCCATCCCACAGGTGCAAGCAACACTTTACTTCAATTTCGAAACGCGTTTTCTTTCCGATGCTGCAGAAAGAACACACGGTTTCGAATTTAATTTTAAAGAAAAAAGTCGACATTTCAACATTCGTTCAACGAATGAGTAGAACATAGCAAGAAAGGAAAACCACCTGATGAGGTAACGATTCAATACCCAATCCTTGATCAAACAAGAAAAAAGCGTCCCTCGATTTCTCGTTCAGCTTTGAAAAAATAGGACTGAAGCAGTCCTTTGAACCTCGGGGAGACGTGGAACCAATGAGATTTGTCGTCCACAGTCGGCCATCCATCAGGATACATCGCAGATTCCGGATTTTCCCTGTATTCAACAGGTTCGAGGGCATCGCCAGCAGAAGTTGAACTAGCGACTGCCTTCAGGGTTCCCAGCGTTTTACGAAAAACCGACGTCGGGGCCTTTCTCCATCCCTTGCTCGCCGTTGCCAGGAGGTACGCTTCCACTCTTTCTTTGGCCAAATCGTGCAATTTCTTCAAAAATAAACACAAAACAAAAACCCAACGCGGTTATCAACCATTTCTACAAAACATAAGATATTACGAAGATTTTTCAAGACCTCATCACACATTAAAATTGGGGGGCACCGAGATCCCGTGTTCCTTCTTCCCGTGCCCCTCCACAATTGCAGCCTGGCAAGACGAGTTCTTCTTCAGAGAGAGTTACGCTTGTGGTGGACAACACGCGATTTGTTGTCGATCCAGCCATGAGGGGGGGGGGCATTTTTAAGAATAGCTTTGTTCAGACTTGAATATTCCACGCTAGTTCGCAGCAGTTCGCGACTATCCCAATGAAGTCTTACAGTTTCCTCGTCGACCCACGGCTCATCACATCGCCGCAATTTGAACCCTATCAACGTGGGATCATCGTCTTCGAGCCATTCCAATTTTCTCATGTCAAAGACGTTCAGAACAGTTTGCAAGGTGTCGTCAATCACAACAAGAATCTATAAAAGATAAATAAGATTTTTACGCATGACCGTCCATCAATTTCATCGACAGTTCAGACGTACGTTTCCAGCGAGGAAGAGAGATACTTGAGAGTACACTACTTCAACCGCTACTTCTTCACCAGGAGAACTACACTTCTCAACTCTCGTAACTTCAATTAGGACAAAGGGATTTCCGATTGCATCAGTGTCTGCGTTTTCCGTGAGTGGGGAAATTTTCCAGCACGGCCACAGGAGTCCATGGTGAGCATCTTCCTCTCGATGAATCCCAGCTTCTTCATAATAATGCTGTAAAAAGGAATAATGTTCGGAATGCAACCTGGATAAGAAGTGCGTGGGTTTTCGAAGGAAGTTTATGCAGATCATTCGTAAGACATGAAAAGTACGAACCGTCATTTTTGGACCCCATCCCGCAGCTTGCAAAAGCCCTTGTCCAGTTGATGCCAACAAATGAGCAGCACCTCCAAGCGGCTTCGTAACAAAGCCGACTAGGCCTTTACCAAGTCCAGCTACGACTGACGTCGTCAAATGAGGTTTCTCTGCAGATGAATCCGCGTCTGACTCCGCCATTACAGCTTCAAGTGGGTGATGAGCAATTCCACCAATGGCTCCTATAATTTTGAGAACAGCGTTCAAATTTCGAGAAACTTAATCATTAAAATACTGTACTGTAAATGGAAAAGCGTACCCTATTACATTAATTACTTCACTAGTGGAAAAATGAATCAGCCTCACCCAACAGCGATATTCCGAACTCGGAAAGCCCCGACTGGAACCCCTGAATTAGACCTTTGTTTCGAACTAATCGTCTCGCATTCAGCGCCCTGTTTCTGTGTTCATCATCCCACGATAAAGCTTCCAAATTGTGAGCCATGCTTCCAGCCATATTGGTGAACGATGACAAGGTTCCTAGACAATCAATAACAATGTCTTCAAATACAGCACACAATTCGAAAATAAACTTGAAATCAGGTGTTCCACAGAAGAACAAATATCCGGGATTCAAAATCTCGAGAAGAAAACATTCCCGAAATTTGGGCCACCTTTGTGCTTGCTTTTACATAAGGTGTCAATACTGTGTAAACAATGAAGAGGCCCAAAAAAAATTTGGTATTACAATCAAAAGACCCTTCAAAAATGTTCTCTAACTTCGCTGAAACGTAAAAAAAGATCAGCGTCTCACCAGATGTCACATGCTGCAGTAGTGACTTCGTGCCCACACTCAATCCTCTGACGAATTCTCTTGGACCTCCGAACATGGCTTGATAAGGCAAAGCGATGCAATCCTTTATCCCCTCTTTTACTTCCCTCATAAGGACACTCGGGCTGCCGAGCAAATCCAACGAGCCCAACACGAAACCTGACGACGACGGAATAGCTAAGACAAACGAGAGCACCCAAAAAGAAGCAGAGAAGAGGAATACCAGCAACCAGGGAACCCGAAAACCGAAAAAAATCCCGTGATGAAAAGAATGCAAAAAATACTTTTAGCAAACGTGTGCCAAACGGTTCAAAACCTGAATGTGCGCAAATCAGCAACAAGAATTACAAGGGAAATCTCCAAATGAACAGGGAAATCAAAATTCTGCACTGTACTCACCGGCTCGAACGACGGCCCCGAAAAAATAATGCCTGCTAACTTCTTTCCCAAGCTTGAACGTGAGGCAACGGATGTCACGTCTTTGGAATGCCGAAAAATTCAAGCTAGACTGGTTGATAGCCAGATACAGCTTGACTGATGCATGAACACTAACTTCAACTGTCAGCGCCTCAATCGAAAATTCTTCCAAGAATAACGGGTCCATAAAACCACCGAACACTTGTGCAACCGACTCAGGTACTTCAGATGCCGAAATTTTGGCGACTGGAATGCACGAATGCCAACTAGAACAAAGCATTCAAGAGCATTTTAAAACTGACGAATGGCTTCAGTGAAATTTTCGGAAAATATACATCGTCGAACATTAAAAAATGCCCGGCATATTTCAATAGAAAAATTTTTTTCCCATCCATCTCACACGGTACTTGAGGCTCTTTAAATAATTTATCACAATAATGAATCGCAGAGAACCAATTTTCCAAGAAATTTCATTTAGATCGCATACCTTAACAGGTGATCAGTAACTTCTCCCAATTTCCTCCACATAACATCTTCCAAGCGAAGAGTGATCGGAGCAGAAGACATTCTGAAACGTTTCATGACTACTCTGGAATTCGGTCCGGTAACTGGTTCCAGCGTCAAATGCATCGTGATCAAATCGTTGCCAAATTTAGCAGAATTACTGCTCGATCTCGTTTGAATGATAATAGGGAAGTCAAAACTGCCCGAACCCGCTTCCTCATTTCTTGCCAAACTATTCTCAAACTGCAGGTCTTTGGTGATGAATGATACCTTGAAATTGAAGAGAAAACGAGAAACATCAGAAAACGGGTTGAATAAAAAAAATCACGTTTCCGAGAGCTAATAGATAAATAGAACATAATGCTGATTCAGGGTATGCTTCATTCAATCGTAAAATAAATACAAATGTCTTAATCTCAGAAAAATGGGCAGGATGGTCGAAGTCAAAATTTGAAATATCAACAATGCCATTACCAAGTAATACAGTTAAAGTCAATATTCTTCACGTACCTCGAGGAATTCCCTCGGTTTGTCTCGGAGAAGTCTCAAGCTCTGTGAGTACTTGAATTGCGGTCGCCAAGCTAAACTGGCTTGAATCAAAACAAGTGAAAAGCAATCCAGTGAGCGCCATTCATCCGTGAAATCGTCCAGCAACGTCACAACTAGTCGAGAAACAACGATTCGCCCGGAAGTAACCCATCTGCTGGAGACTTGCATCCACCGATCCGGTTCTGACGTTTGCAACTACACGCGATTCGGAACAAACACACATCATTCAATCATTGCCAATCGAGGGACGATTTTAGATACGAGGAGATTACTGTTCACTCGTTTCATTCTTCGGCTCTAATTCGAGCATGAACTCACGAAACTGTATACATAAAGTGAAAAACTAACTTCGACAACTTCAAAAGAATCTCACCTTCAATTCTTCCTTTGGTGGGGATTCTCGTTTGCCATCCGCAGAACCAATGCGATTTCGCACACTTGAGGCCCTCACTTCTATTCTGTGCACTGGCAACAAAAACAAATGCCTCGTGTAGCCGGACATTTCAATGCCAATTTGCACGTCGACCCCTGAGACTAGACGCAAGAACTGTGCTCCAACTCCGGCTTCAGCCTCATCGTCTGACTGCCGGAATTCTACCCATTCGGACCACTCGTCATTAACAAGGGCAGAAAGAGCGAATTTCCGCACTCCTCCAGCAGTTTTTGAAAGCGTGCCATTCGCGAAGTCCTCATCTTCGGTTTCCAGCGCACACGGAATGCAGGCAGCAGGCGGAATTTTGATCACGGACGCTACTTCAACTTCTCGTTCTATGATTTCGAAAGCCCATCCAGTCAAAGCGTAAAATATCAATAAAACGTGAGCTTTTAGCAGGAACATGATAAAATAATTACTTCACAGCTAAGCTACACGCGAAATAAAATCAACCACAGTTAGAAGATGATTTCAATGAGAAAAAATCAATGATTTTATGTCTGAAGCCAAGTCGAAGCGATTCATACTTTTGGGCGATCCCATAAAATTTTAGTTTTATAGTATTGAGAGAAGAAAAACAGGTTTCGATTTCAGAGGAACGGATGGCCGAAGCAAAAAAAAATTTCGAGCTTTAACACGGATAATACAAAAATCAAACTTACGATTGTCAGTAAGTGAAGCAAATCGAAACGTTTGCCCGCAAAATGTATTATGCACCACAACGGCGGGATTCAACTCGTTTCCAACGGCAACATTGATTCTTACTCCATCGTCCGAAGGCACGACAGCCACAACCAAAATGTCTGTTCCAACGACAACATGTTTCCTCATTCCAAGAGTATCTTTGTTCAGGTCGTTTTCTGACCCGATCAGAATTGATGCCCACGCCTCGTGGTCCACGAATGAGAGACTTAGTTTGACGTAACAGTCACTCGGGGAATCTGGGTCGCCATGAAGTATCCAAGACGATATCGGAGTCGCTTTCGAACGATCCGGCGACAGTACAGTTTTGCACGGCGACGAAACCATGCATATGTCTGGATCGAAATTTTCATCAGCACAACGGAAACCTTGGATCATGATGGGCTCATTGGTATAGTTCGTGAAAAACCATCTTGGTTCCACAGCAATCACCCGAACTCCATCACTCTTCCTTGATGATAGAGCTAAATCTAAAACCTGAAATTCGAAGAAGGGAAGTAAAATTATGAACCGAAGTTAAGCCACGGAGGATGGGTGGAGTGAACAACCCGTTATTATGAATGTGTCAGGAAATTTTTCAGAATTATACAGTATCAATGAGTTCTCGTGGAAATGAAAAAAAAAATAATACAGCAAATATCACGAAATTCTTCGAAGTTATCAGACTTTTGAAAAATGCTATGCAATTTATAATGAAATATTGTACATTAATATAATGTACACGATATACAGAAAAATCCTTCGGCAAAAGTTTTTACACTTCAGATCTTTTGGTGAGTCAACCACATTAAATTATTTTTGTTTTCAAATACGCGATTTTGACTATTAGTAGAATGACTTTTTTGAGGCCTTGTTCTCTCAGCTTTGAAGCTGCTGATTCATAGCGAGAATTTTTTTTTTTTCAAGGTGAAGACTCTTCTCGAGGTTTTTACGAGTTTTCAACTACGTATTCTGTTTCTGAAACACGTCGATTCTCGCAGCACTCACAGAGTACTAAAGCAGCGAAGCATAGAGTATCACAGTTACTTCCTTCGATAAAAAAAATTAATTTTTCAGACTATTCTTCCTCGATTTTTTTTTTTTTACTTCTGTGCTCGGAACCAGGGGTTCAAAACAAAATGATTGAAGTCTTCGAAAGAATGAATGAATTAAGAACAATTTTTTACTTTCAACTCGAATATTTGCTTGAGTTTCGAATGGCGAAATACGCTTTGAAAACACCCTCGTATTTCATCATGGAACCTCGTGAAGTACTGGAATACCTGTGTAAGGCGGCCTTTCCCAAGCCTCAGCATGCGCAACAAAACAGTCGAGGTCATCGGCACGTTGAGCTGCTCATCATCATCTACCAACGCTCGGACAGAGGCAATTTCACCAGGACTTGTTGGTTTAGCTGGAGGAGCCACTAAACGCGGTTCTTGCCAAGAAAGTACCAATCGCTTCCTCCAGTCTGACACCACTCCAGTTGCGTCTACGGCCATCAAATCAAAGGGTTCCTGGAGGAATTGAGAATAATAAAATGAGGAATGACCAAACGTTCTAATTGTCTGTACGAACGGATCCGAGCTACTTTTGCTCTCAACTACGCGTTTATCTGGATAAATTCAAATATTTCAGATCTACTGAAAAGAGAAAGTTGAGCACTAACCTCGAACTTCGGGCAGATTGAAATCGAGTCTGCAGCAACGGGAAGAGCTTTTCCAGACATGGCGATGATTTCAAAGCTGCATCCAGATTTCAAATTATTCGCTATCACCAATTCTGGTCTCACTTCAAGTAATAGTGTGTTGAGATACGGCCAAAAACGTTCGTAAGTCACCTGCGCCAAATTGAATAGAAATATGAATCATCACGCAACTTCAAACAATATTACGAACACCAACCTTTAAATCAACACGGGGCTGCACCACAACCCTCGTCGAACTTTCGCTTTCATTCCCTAGTTCACGATTCTCCACGCATCCACTTTCATCCCATTTCCGGACCGATTGACGTTCTCGTAAGCTTTCGAGGATTCGTTCAACACACAATCCAGGTTCTTCCACAGTTTCCATTTCGGACAAGTCCGGATTAATTTTTCCAGCATCAGGATATCCCACTTGATGGATCATATCGGGCGACAGCGGAACCGAGGCATACCATTCTTCGCTATTGTACCTAAAAATTAAAATTGATTGTAAAGCAATCCAGATTTCATCCACAAAAAAAATTACGATAACTAACAGAGAAACTCAAGCCTTAAATTCAAGTATCAAGGGCAAACTTGACATAAACGGAAATCAGCACGAAAATACGCTCAAGGCATTAATTAACTCACCGAAAAGATATCTGATGATTTGCATCCACACCAAACGGACAATTCAGCACTACGGCTTCCGTTTCCAGAAAGGAGCCTTGTTTACAAGCAGGAAGCTTTTGCACTTTTTTCACTTGTCCCCGAGCGGGAGTTAAAATGACTGCTTCCAATTCACTCGGCATAATTGATTTTATCGCATACATCGGACTCAAGATGAAAACTATTCTCGGCGGAAATCCCATTCCTCCTCCATCTCGTACGATCGTGCAACTTCAAGGGCATTTGAAAATTCTATGAAAATTCCATGAAAACAAATATCTGATAAACTTGAATACATACCAGACATTGACTGTTGAGTCACTTTCGGCAGTCCTCAACGCCAAAGATTTTCTAATGAAAGTACAAGTTCCGGTCGTCAGGCGTTCCACAGCCACCTTTGAACAATCGATTCTGCTGTTCCCGTCCTTATCAAACCTCACACAGCTCAGCTCCTCCAAAGGCATAGCCACGCTCGAAAGTCCAACTTTGCAATTTCTCGTTGCATCAGGAATGTGGCAAACCTCAGTTCGTTCGTTTCTTTCAACGATGGCATTGACAGCAAACAAGTTGAGGTTGAAAAACCCGACACAGCCTTGAAGGTTCAAATGAATAATATGACGCATTCCCGGAAATGGACGTGAGATTGCAATCAATGAAGCGGCACGATTCTCGGCGTCGAGTGTCGTCGTGGAAACGCCGAACGACTTGGAAAGTGCCAATGGATCCGACCAACGGGAACCGGCGCCGGATTTGATCCTCAGCAACCTCGATCCTCTGTTGGACCTGAAACAATCAATGTGATCTAAATATCGATTTGAAAAGATGCTTAACGGAGCAGTCACAAAATTAGCTCGTATTTCGATGGAAAGCTGACTTACTTTCACATACCAATGTCCTTACTTGGTCCAGTAACAAAAACGTCTTCATCATAAAAAGAGCATAACAATGATTTATATCGCAATAAACGTGAAATAGGAGAACGCAACCTAAAGCTTTCCAGAATTATCTAAAAATAATCACCTCCAAACATACGGAACTCCTTTTCCAGCAGGAATATGTAGACATTCGTCGGTAAAATTTTGTCCAATAGACAAATCCTCAGATGTACAATTCGAAATCAGGTACTTGCACATCGAGAGGGCAACCTGTCAAAAATACGAAAGATTACTTATAATGCAACCGAGATTACAGAAACAAACATTTAGCACCTCAGTTTGCCCATTTATTTCGAAAAAAATTAGCTCATTCCTTTCAATGATGACAGATTATATAACACGTGCAAGAGAAATCATCAGCGAGAATCTTTATTCTTTTACTTCAAACTTTGATTTCATTGATAATTCTGTAGTGTGGGAAAATAAGGAACACATACCATTTTTCCAGTTGCATCAGATCTGACGTTTCTCCTCAGGGCAATAAGAGATGCATTCCAAGCGGTCATCGAACGCTGAATTTCTTCATTCAATACAACTCCCCATCTGATGAGCAAATCCGAAAGCGAGAGCCTGCAGTCGCTTAAGCCAGACGCAAGGAAAACCAAAGCGTCGAAGGTCAACGAAGGTATCCGAGCTACCCAAGACTCCGTCAAATGCGACGCTCTTGTCACACGCAACTCCAATCCGCAGCGAAGGTGAGAAGAAATCCATTCATTTTCTCGTCCATCGCTTCTCGTGACGACACGAAAATCGAAATTACTGATCTCCAACACAGACCAGACCTGAACGAAAGATGAAATTAGTGAGAAGCCAAGAACAAATTATGAATTTGTCCCAAAAATTAAAAAATTAGTTTTTCACACTGCGATGTGAAAATGAATTACATTGCATACCTGACGAGACGGAAATTGATTCGAAACAATCTCGAAAGAGAGTTGTCTCGTAATCCTTTCTTGCGCTCTCTCATCTAGTGACAAATCCCGGTAAATTTCATTCTCGACAATACAGCAGCCAATCTTGACTCCGATTTCGAATACAGGCGTCAATTCCGGGATAAAAGCTGAATCAATTCCAACACAAGCAAGAAGCGCTCTCGGCGAAACAGCAGATTTCTCTTCTTTCTCATTCAAATCGGAATGTCTGCAAATTTTCAGAGAAAAATTTGTTTGCGGAGAAACTTCAATGAAAAGTATTGAATGTGCGTACCTATACCCGATCACGATCCGCCAAATAGAAGAAACTGGTACGACGAGTTCCCTCGTCTCCTTTTGTTCTATAGTAGACCCTGAACCGGGAAACGGAATGCAAACTTCATCTAGAGGAATTTCTTGGAAATTAGACTCGCTCAGTCGAAATGAAGTGTAATCCTTGAAACAAGATGAAAACCAACACCAATGCTGCAGTCGACACGTTAAACTCCCGACATCCGCGCTTTCTTCGTCGCCTTTAAAACTGAAAAGATTAAGCATTTCGTCACATTTTCAAATTCGTACACAGTAATTTCAGAATAAGAAACTTCGCCAGAAGGAGAACGGTAGCCACTGCACGAGGCAAAATTCTTTAAAAATATGGACATTCAGCATTAGGAGTTGGAACCGCACGCAATATAATTTTGCCTTTGTTTTAGATTTTCGTTCGCTTTTTTCTCCTCCTACACGTTATGAACCGATAATAATCTCCAGCACGTTCCATCTCATGGAATGGGTAACGAAACTTGATCTTGAATACGGGGGATGCGGTTTGTTACATAATTTCGTTCCGAGACAAATATTCAAATGCCGTTGCCGTACTATGAAAAAATTCTGCGAAGGACAGTTTGAATGAGAAATGTTAAATGTTGCCGATTGATTTAACTTTTAAAAAGGATGAAAAAAAATTAATAACAGCAAGAGATAGAAAGTACGCAGCTATTAGTAGACAGCAGATAAATTGTAGAAGGGCTTCCCTTACTTTTCCGAAGTCGACAGAAAAGGCAACGGAGTCACTACGAGCTTCGAAATCGCTCTTGGTTCTCTATAATGCCATGACAATGATCCGGACGATTCGTCGACCATGACAAAGCCTGGGGCCAACACTTCGGCGTCTTCCACGTTGATAATCTTCAATAGTCCGGATCGTAAATCATCAGAGGTCTCCAAAACCTTTCCCCGATCAGAAAATTTAGAAATACACTTTTCGCCTTCTTCAGTCGCTGTGAAAGGCAAGAGTAAGTACAGTTTCGCGATGGAAAAATATGTATCAGTTTACCTTTTTCCGCTGATTTTAATGCGAATGCTTGCCAGGCGTTCTCCACGCAGAAAACTTGAGGGGCACCGACGAAAATTTTCAAGACTTCAGTCGATAAGCGTATCTTTCCGCTGCATGGGAGCTGGGACAAGGGGAATGATCCACATCGCGGGAATAAAACTGACAAGTCAATCAAAACTGGCGAAAGCAAAGGAAACTTCTTCTGTTGGTTTTGTAACTGACACAAGATTTCGAAGTCCAAAATTTCTCCGGTTGCTTCATAAAATCCGGTAAGTACGTCACCTGAGAAAAAAAAAAACTCTTGTGAACGGAACATGAATTATGTAATGGTCTAAAATAATGAATTCCTGTTTTTAATGGAATTCCTCCAAGTCTATTTTTAACGGAATTCCTACAGTCCTGTTTTTAATGGAATTCCTACTTTACAATCTTGATTTTTTGTGAAATTAAATTTCAATAAATTATCTGTATGAGGAATTCACTGAGAACTATGAGATCGTTCATACGATAAAAAATTCTGGATTTTAAGTCATTTCGAAACTACAGATCGCGAAAATCGATTAAAGCCGATTACCTGACGGAGGAACGTAATAGCTATTGAATGATGCTCCTCGAATAGCCGTCAGCATCGAACACTCAACATTGCCCCACACGACAACCAATTGTTCCAGCTCGGTATCAAAAGCCCCGATCAGATTCCAATTGAAGGTTTCCACAGGATAATTTTTTTCCGACGCTCGAGATTCGAGAAACTTTCCGAAATCGGCCATCAAATCATTCCAGACAGTTCCAAAGACTTGACTTCTCCCATCAATTTTCAACGGCCTTCCGATATCAACTTTCAGCGCTGCTCTGGAAAGCCCGTTTTCTGCAACGGGCATATCCGTAACCATCAGAGTAAAAACTGACGCGAGAACTCCAGTCCGTTCATCCGGTTGGCCGGTTTTCGTGGACAAAATATCAAACGAATTTGTCTTGCACGTCATATCGTAACATGACCAGACGGCTTTACGGTCAAGTGGCAACCATCTCACACTGCAATATGGCTCTTGTAAGGTACCGGTGAGGATCACCTTCCGCTTTCTGTTGCAAAAATTGGAAAAAAAAAACTTTACTTAAGAAGACAATGTAAGAAATTGCATACATGACATCGCTTCATACAAATTCTTAAACCATGCACTCGATTTTTCATCATGTTCCTGATTTTGAAGTATGAATAAAAGGGAATAGTTGATTTTCTTGCGCCTATCATACATGGTGCAGTGATTAGATAATCCTGACTTAAAAATAATAAGGTAAATTTCTCTACCACAAAACTAATGAGCTTTCTAAATGTTCCACGAAAATCTCCACAATTCTTACATTTCTGACGATGCTCGAGAGCTTTCCAAAATTGCTTCTTCTGAAGTCAAGTTTTTCGGTTCTTGAATCGAGGATCCGGCATCCTGATTCACCGAATTCAAGTTTCCGCATAATGTGACTTTCAATCCACGAGAAGTCAGGAAAAGTTCGAACGACGGAAGTGAGCCTAAGCTAAAAAATTAAAATGAACGTCACCACAGAATCCCGCAAGAATCTTCGAAATATAAATGTCTCTCTCACTCAAAGTCCTCGACCCTCTCGTGCTTCTCCGAAGTGCCAGAACCGTTTCTCGCCAGCAAAGGCACAAGCAGTTTTTGAATATTCATGATAGTATCAATATGATTCGGCCCAATTGTGACTTCAAGATTGCTGGAAGTTGACAGTTCAATTGAGTGTGGGCTCACAATTTGTCCGGAGAATAATATGGCGGGTGCGAAAGAAGCTTTGACATCAAACGGAGACACTATTGACCAGAGCTCTTCCAGATACAAGGACGGGTACTTCAGTGCAGCAGCTCTTGGAGGAACGGTGTCCTCCCTAACATTCCACTCCAAAGCAGGGTTCTCGGACATAATTTTGAGATCCTGGCTTAATGTTCGAAGTCGCGTTTCCTGTTCAGAAACGTTTTTCAGCAAATTGTTCCAGTTCCCTAAAATAAAAGTTGCATCAACTCCGAAACATAGTTCACAAAAATGCCGGATGAGAGCAATGGTACAGTTACAGTTCAACCAACCAGATACAGTAGCTTTATTTACTTATACTTCTCGATCAAGTGAGCCGTATTTACACAAGTAGTTGAATAAAATATGTGCACATGTCGGACATGAGAATTAGTTCGTGAAAAGAAAAAAAAAGTGAGAAATGCCCACGTGCAATAAACGACCATTTTCAGCATTTGTCTGAACCAAGAACAGTGCGCATCGGATATCAAACTGAGTGCCAGTGGAGTACCACACTGAATGCACAAAAGGCACTATCGCCTGATTTCTCAAGCGCTGGATTCTAGGGAATACAAAAAACTGAAATTGAACGTGAGAAAAGCTCGCGCATTCGATGATCGATTTAGCTTTTCCATCCGGAACTTAGCATTTATAGAGTTCGAAAGGTAGACCCGAACTTTAAATGCTTTGCACCCGTGTATGAAAGACACCTGATTTTTCAAGACCACGTTATCTTGTTAAATACGGCACACAACTTCGTAATTAAACATGAAATATACGTTGATTAGACAGCTGAATTTTTAGAAAACTAAATGCTTGCGGCACGCGATCACGGACAGAAATTGTACAGATTATGCGCAGAATTTAATACAGCATCACGAAAGTGATTAATACTTTTTGCAAAGCGTCAAACTTCCAAAAGAGTTCGACAAGCCACATAAAAACATGAACAAATTTCTCACCAGCTGAGAGGCTGACATTTGAAATCAGCAAGGAATACATGCGATTCTCGATCACAGCTCCGGGGACACATAAACATCCAAAAGACTCCGCCATTTTGTACGTTTCCTCTTGCAATATTGTCCTCGACAAATGATCATCAAAGCATGTATTGATTCTCGTCATGTCGCAGTTCAGTAAGACGTATGAATTATCTTCGTCAGGAAGGAAAACTCTCGACAGACCCATTTGAAAATAAATTAAGGGTAAATCTGAAACTCCGAGCGACATCCACGAACTTCCGTTAGCGATTAAACGCTTTTGAGATCTCGGACGTAAATTCACATCCTTGCGCTTTGAAGCTTGGGAACATGGGAATATGATCTTCTGCATCAAGGGATTGATCCATGTGTGGCAGAGTACGACGTCCAATGCTTGAAAACTGAAGTCGAATTCAACTATTGATTTTACAGCAGGTTCGAAGAGTCCAAGGTCCATGAGATCCTATGAAAAAATTCATCATTTATAAGAACAGCCCAGAAAAGCAATCACCGCAAGCTTCAAAACTTTGTTTCCCGAAAGAATTCACGCTAATGCTACAACCGCCATGGATTAGTTCGAAAAACGAATGAACTTCGATAAAAAAAAAAAGTGCGTACGAACCTGCCTCGAACATCTCAGTTCAGGTTTTGAGCTCCACCATCTGTCTCTTACTGATACCGCATCAGCCACGGTCAACGTAATTTGAAGGAACGGAGGAGCAGAGACAAGCGGAACATGCTTTGATAAAGGAGAGGCATCACATCCATCCGCCCACTGCAAATCACGAGGGAATTGGTGCGCTTCTGAGCTAGCCGCAAGAAATCCTGCTCCAATTGGAGCGCCTTTCATCACATCCCTGATGAAAGCAAGAGGAACGTAGATTTCCCTTGATGCATGATGAATGGAAAATTGAATTTATAAAAATTAATCCAATATTAAATATAACGAAAGGACAGAAACGGGTTCGCATAAATACAAATAAAACAGCGTATTATTTCAGTGATGCCTTACGGTCCGCGAACTTACTGAGTATAGTCGTGGAGACGGTGGAAAATGTTCAGACCCATGATTTTCAGCTTCAGTTTGTAGAAAACTAGTTGCCAATCACAGGAGAGGCTCAATTCGTCAATTTCAACGATAACTTTTTTCGTGCTTTCGTCATCTTCATAAAACAGCACAAAGGTTGCTTTGGGAAGAGTTCCTTGAAGCCAAAACGAAATTTGATCATCTCGTCGAGTACCTGGAATCGTCAAAAATTCACAAATATTGGAGCTGTGCAGCTTTTCAAATTTTTCTCACCAAAAATGAATAAAAATGATCATTTGAAACAACCAGTTTTCTGGATACTGAATCAGAAGCATCTTTATGCATCTCATTCCGAGACTGAAATGATTCTCGATCTTTCGAAAATGTTTGACATAAAATCAAAAACTGGACTCTTTTTAAACGAATAGTTTCCACTCACCGTCTCCTAGCCGCAATATAGGCGATGAGCTCGTCTTGTCTATCGCCTCTTTGGCTACGGAAACGGACGTCCACTGTCCACTGTCATGCAAACTATCCATGGACGGGGACTTTCTCGCAGTCACTCCCAATCCGAGAGTCGGCACCGGATTCGGTGCAAGAACAGTGGAATGAATATTATTGGATGCAGGCTTCACATAAAACTTTTCCAGCAAGTCCATTATTGAGTGCAAAATGACGGTCAGGCGAGTCACGATTTCAAATAAATGGACTGCTTTGAGCGTGAATGCGATTGGCGACATGTCAATATGAAGACAAACACCAGTGTGGCGGAGTGCTTGCACTAAACTCCCCTCAGCACTCGTAGGATGCATCAACGGAGTATCACCGCTTTGATCAAGAATGTTCGCACTCATTCCGATGATACTGATTGAAAATGGAAATTTTTCGGAATCTGCGAAATGAAAAACCACCGTTTATGCTTCTGAAATATTCGCCGTCCCTCTGCTAATACTGATGTACTTTGAGTGAGTGTGGTCATCACGCACATGATTTTCGCAAGTTTTTGAAGCTTTTCACAGTGATATTACTTTTTGGTTAACACTAAAATACACATGATTTTCAGACGGTGAAAAGCCAACCTTATTTGCAGTTCAGGAGAACAATACAGTATCTGAATATTTCCATCACCGATGTATCGAAGTGACAAAACTTAAACTTACCCAGAATCTGTCCATCAAAAGAAGCAAGAACTGGAAGGAATGAAGGCAATCGACGAGTCAGATCCGACTTCGTCTGGTGGCTAAGTAGTGAGACTTTAACGACGAAAAGCTCAACCGATGAATTTTCGGCCTGATTACCACGCTTCAAGATTTCAATAGTTTCTGAGAAACCACTGGACGTCCACACCTTCGCATTTTCCAACTTCGCAGGATTTTTCCTCAATAACAAATGCCCGCCAGCGCATGTTATACATACAGTCGCACGCGACAGCATCTAAAGAAAATTAATGGAAAATGTTCAATATGTCACACTTCATAACCTGCGCGTTCATGCGGAAAAATATCGGATTAGAATTACAATACGCAGAACCGTAATCCAGACGCATATTTCTGTTTTAGTGGCTCACCTGATGTACATCTAGAAATTTTGGTGCAGAATGGTGCGCTTTCGATGGCACAGAGGACTCAGATCGGTTATCGCCGACACTTGAAGAGCCCTCTTGGGAAAAATCAGATCCCACAAATGATGCCATTGACCTCGTCTTTTTGGATCCACTTTTCGTTCCCCTTGCAACGAGTATTATTTCCTTGGTAATTTCTGGCATCAGCGTTTCATCAAAGCATACAAGGACAGGCGAAACGTTCATCGCAATTATAAGGGGAACGCCAGACTTTCCTTCGGGCACAGGAATTTGCAATACCACTCTCAACAATTCGTTTGTCACGTCACCGCCTTCGAAGAGAGGTAGCATACGCGAACAGCCATCGGTGTCCGGTTTGGAAATTATCATCCGTAGCCTAAATTCATAAAATTCATTTTGTTTTGTTTTGAATGAACAGTGCTTTTTTCCAGATACCTTCTCAAGTTTCCATGGTATGCGAAGAACTTCCCCACAGTGGAGGATTGCGTGACAGCAAAATCGTTCACACTAACAGTGAGCGTACATTTCTGCGAGCTGTTCATCATTTTTTGTTCTGTCATCGCACCCGTCATGCGTCGCCGATACAATAGCGAGCGACAAAGAAGCCATAGCCAGTGCACCTGAACATTCAATGCGGAATTTAAAACTTTCGCATCGTTTTCACCTCGAATCCTACTCACCTGTGGGACAGTGAATTGCAACTTCAAGTCGTGCACCGTAATTCCAGCGATCTGACGAGGAACTGTCGGCGCAAAATGACCGTCGTCGGAAACAAAGGTATTCAGACTGTAAACTGCATCCGATGGATGCAAAATAAGTGCGGAATGCTCGCCTGTCACAACAGCTCCTCGTATAGATTTAACCTTAAAATATTATACCGCTTCAGAAATCTGATCAAATTTATCAAATATAGAACTAACCAGGATCTTCATGGCGTCGTAACCGAAATGACTCAATATATCCTGTGTCGAAACTAATCCTGAGACCATTTCTTTCCGTATTTTGTCAGGAAACATTGGAGTTTTCCTCGTAATTTCGATGTGACGACAACCGACATCGAATGAGGAAATATTTGGCAATGGAGTCAATGGCACCTGAAAAAAACATCCAACAAATACAATCCGCGACGAACAATTTAAAAAATTTAATGATCATCTCCCCAGCGGAACTTTCCGAATGCTACCTTAAAGGCTCAAAAGAATGCAAGAAATTCGAAGAGACGCAATGATGGTTCCACTCACATCATTTTTAGCAGAGGTCGCAGACTTCTTCAGTTTACCATGAATGAAAGGATATAGTTTTCCAATAGGCCCATTGATGAAAATTCGGTAATGTCGAAACGGGAACCATTTCTCCATTTTCTTAATTGCATCCTCAGCATTTTCGAAATCGTCGACTCTCCCGTTCCGATCCGATGTATCCCCGGACGCCTTTCCTATCAACACATTAAAAATAGTTTAAAACTTGATGAATAAGAAACCCAACTGAAGTACAGACCTGGGAAACGAGATGAATAGTTGTATTCTTGCCAACAGTCCGCCACAGCATTCAATGCTACTTCCAGACGATGCAAACAGCCCGAGTCCACAGAAAACTCGGTAGAACCGACGAACATTCGCATCCAAGAACCTTCTCGTTGCACAATTGCTGAATCGTCACCGTTCTCTCCGAAGTATACGTAGTCCATAGAAACTGCAGGAGCCCGCGCAGTAATTTCCAGTTCTAAATTTCGAATTTGAACGATATCATGAAATTCATCATTGTCACTAACACTGGCATAAGACCCAGAAGTGTTGAAGAGCAACTTCAGACTTTATCACGCTTCAGGAAAATCGAAGTTCAGGAAACGAAAATTCTAGTTCCGAGTTCTTGAACGCCAGTTTTCTAATCATGGCGTACCTTTTCTCATTTCACACGTAGCCAATTATCGATTCACCTCTTCCGGAAGATTTGTTATCAAATTGGACGAATATACTGAGTGAAAATTAATCCAAATCAAACCATTTTTTTTTACATTAAATAGATGGCCCACGCATGTATCCAACAAATAGAGAAAGCTATTCAGCGTGTACTCACGAAATACTGGAAAATATTGTACATTACTGAGAGAATAACATGAAAAATTGCTTCGTTACAGTTCACGAAAAATGATGAACATTCTTACCACAACACTTCGCCAAATGTTCCTCTAGAGTAAGCGGAACCTCCAAAATCGCCATTTCCGGATTTTCAGGGTCGAAAAGCGAAGCTTTCACATGCAAATCCTTGCTCTCTGATGAATTTCCACACGTTAAATACGCTTCGTTGATTTCCTTAAAAAATGAATAATCGCGTGAGAAATTCAATCGGCGCCTTCTGTTTCTATGGGACGAAAACCTACTCGATCTGGAAGCCCATTTCCATCAGCTCTAATAGAAGAAAACAAGGTATCCACAGCGCCGCACGGACACTTTCGAAGCGGGCGAAGAATTGCTTGAGCGAATCCACATTTGGCGTGAGAAAAAAGACCATCGCTAGTGCTGAGAGCCTCAAAAAATGATCCAGTTTGTTCCAGTCGACAAAACGGTTCAAATGTCACTTTGAACTTCCCTTCATTCCGTTTCTCTGCACGCTTGAATGAAAAACAATTTTTTGTCAAGAACGAAAAAAAACAGTCATTTCTAATATTCATCCACCATCTTAAACAATTTCCGCACTATTCGTCAGGAAGTTTATACGAAATGGCATTCACTGCGTTTAACATCCAAATGCCAGAACAGTTCAAAAATTTAAACAAAATTCGACAAGCGGAAACCTTGAAGACAGGAACAAATACTGTTCATTCAGAATACAAAGACCGATTAAGTCAATACACCTTTAAGGTCCATTGCGTGGAGTCGACGTAGAATCCGAATAAGGAAGTGCACTTGAAATTTTTGGATCCATTCGAACCCGCTGTAATAATTTCGCCATCAACAGTCTGCTCGTATTCATCTCCTATCAGGGCGGAGATTCCCACAGATGGGACTAGATTCCATGCCCATGATGCCCAGCCAGCTGAAGAGTTCATAATAGTGAAGGGAATTACGCAGTGTTTTTTGGGAAGGGTACATAAGAACCTTCTCAATATATCATTTCTCCAAGAAAACACGTTGGATACATACATACTCTAATCGATCTGCGATAATAAAAAACTAGTGCACGAGTTACAGTACTTAGAATTTTTTTAAATGCAACCTCAATAAAACATCGCGTTTCCCTTCATCAGGAAAAAAATACACACACACACAAATACACTTACCGCCGCCATCATCCAGAGGAGGATTGCTATTGATCGGGAACTCCGACGATGTTTCGTCCCCCTTCTCAACTTTTTTGGATCTTGGCGATACGTCTCCTTGGATCACTGCATATGCAAGACTTGCCAATCGAATGAACATGGGTAGCTGCTCATCCGTCAAAGAAACGTTCAGTTCTTTGCAATAGATGGAGAGCTGGGTTGCTTTGGCTCTTCTAGCTCCATTTCGTCGCACAGATTCGTCATACAGAAATGACATCCGACAATCCAAAGTGCAGCGGTAAACCAACGGATCCTGAAAAAAAATCCTTACTCGGCTGCAGATATTTTTTTTTACCACCCAAAAAAATTCGTTCGCACGAATGAAAAAATATTCCAATTGCCAACGAAGAGCTTAATATTTGTGTTCATTCGAAATATGAAAAAAGGTTGAATTGACAGAAGATTCGTACTCACAAGATAATAATCTATTTTCCCGTGCGCATTCCGCTTGTCCAAACAAATTGTGAGATCCGACAAGGTTGCTACTTTCCGCATTTGCAGGTCCACGCTCGATGCAACATCAATGAATGCGGGAGTCCACGCAGCATCGCAAGAATTCCAACGCAGTGACCGTACATTCAGTGAAAGTACCATATCATCTTCCACATACTGAAAGCGAGCGAGTTGAACGCATCAAAATTACCGCATCAACATGCAACAACGCAAAGAAGACGGAACAAATGAGTCACACGCGTCAATAAACCTTGAGGATGACGTTGTTGAAAACAATGGCAACATTTTGAACCACTTTGGCAACCAAACTTGGGATGTAACCAGGTGGGGCGTCATCGCTCGGCTTTTGAGAAACTGGAAGCTCACTTCTGGACGAGGATGAGTGAAAGCTTTCTCGTTCATTGCCGGCGTTCAATTTCAGGACGCATTCTGCAGTTTTTAAAGCAGCAAAAAAAAAATTGGACCGAAACGAGCATGTGGGATTTTCTGCCACGAATGTAAAATACTTTAATTTCCAAGTCAAACACTGTAGATGGAGAGGGATGAGTTCAGAAAATGAATTCTCAGAAGAAAGACAGTCGCAGAAATATTTTTGATGCTGTAGTTCGTGTACTTCCATGATTTTCAGGATACGAGGGGCGTCAATAATTACTGTGTATACTCTGTGCAGCATCCACTCGAGTAGTTAGAAGTTACAGCTTTGAGCTCTAGTACAATCCCAATCGCTCAGACAACTAAAAAGATACGATGAAGAACTTACCAAGAGTGTTCACGGTTACGATAATTGGTTCAGTCGCGAGACGCGTCCAAGGAACTTGAATGCGCAGTTCGTGAATGTGGCCATTGACAAATGAAAACGGAAGCTGAAATTCCTCCTCAAGCACCCCGAGACGCAGATCCAAGTTTGAGAATACTACCTCGCCACCCCATAATGATACCTATGACGCAGAGGAATAAATCCGCGAGATGAGAATCAAGCGCAACATATGGTGAAACGAAACCCGAATAGGTAGAGTACAAGGAAAAATAGAAAATACAGTTTGTTTAAATAAAATACTGTAACCACCGTAGGAGCATCATTGGCATCCCGATTACACGGCAAAAAAAATCAGATTTTCAGAGGAAACCCACACCGTACGGTATTTCATCCGCAACAGTCGACAGAGAGACGCGATTCGAACCCACGGTAAAATCTTAACGAAGTTGACCAAAATTTCAAAACACGGTAAAAAAAATATAATAAAAAGCCCAGAAACTAATTAGAGGAACCCTTACTTGCGAATCTTCCGGTCGCAAATTCTTGATGTACTTCTCCACGTAGCTCAAAATCAAAGGCGTGACGTAGGATTCCACCTTGAACATTATGGATCGCACCTGGCATCGCGCGATGCAGTTCACAGCCACAAAATCAAGTTCTACAGCCTTCAGGAAGTACGATAAGGCATGTGATGTAAAATTTGGACATGAGCCTAATACCAAGCTCATTGAATGTATGGAAGAGATTTACGTTCGGTTGAACTTCATAAATTGCACCTTCTCACATATTTGCTACGAATTCATGCAATCGCTATGGGATAGATTAAATTTAAAAGAAACTGATTGTTCAATAAAACAGTTTTCCAACGTAAGTTGCAGCGGAATCTTGACGGGTATTACACTGCAGAGCTTTGAAACATCAGGAGTTTTGATAGGTCAGACCGAATCGACGGTTATTTTATAAAAGCTCCCCATTTGTGTCGACAAGAGTTGAAAGCGCAGATGCTTCATCATTGAAGTTGCAAAAAAGTGAAAGAAGACGAAAACCGCGATATCTTCCGCGCTTCATTTATTTGAATCCACCCAATCGTTCAACATCGCTTTCGCCGAGGAGTGGAGAGGACGAGCAGTCCCTGAAGCACAGAAATCACGATTCCGCCGGATTGGCGAATACGTAAGTCAAGCCACATTTGCCACAGTATTGGCGATCGAACATGCCAGCCATGAAGACACCAGCCCCACATTCTTCACCAGGACATTCGCGACGGAGACGATGGATCTTGCCATTTTCATCCACCTAACGAGGGAATTAGAGAGAACGATTATGGCTCAAAAAATTAAATAGTGAGAAACACGCCATAAAAAAGGGCATAAAAATAACTGTCGAAAACAGCTACACTACAGTAACTAAAAGTTTGCTAACATCATTTCTCTAAAATAAATATTGAAAATACGGTCAAGAGCACAACGGAGCGACGCAGTAAAATTAGGTTACATTACAAGTCTAGTATTTGGATAAATGTTACATTAATGACTCCATATTTTTTTCATACATCGGAGCCGACACAAACCCAGCGCATGCAGTACCGTACTTCGCAAATACGGGTTGGGATTTCCACTCGAAGTTAAGGTGAAACGTGGGAAAATTCGTAATTTTTCATTCAGCGTTGGCTTACTTTCAGATAATACACAAAATAAAAATTAGCCCTAGAATTACAACCCCTCATGAAAAAGACCACGAAAAATGTTTGAGTCAACATAAAAACCCCCTTCGAATGATGGGCACTTCAGATTTCTCTTCGGCTCACGAGTTCAATACTTCAGGAAGTTGAGTTTGAAATAATTCAACTTTAGAGACAAAAATTGTCTTCTCCCACATAAAATTTTTTTTTAATTTGAAAATTCGATGTTAACAATTTTCCAGCTTGACATACCTTGAGCATAATCCGAATTCAAGTACAGTACACTTCTGAAAAAAATGGCTAAAACATGTCCTATACTTCGAGAAGCGCGGTGCTCACTCGGCGGTTAAAGCAATAATAGAAGAACTCACCTTGTAATATTTCAGAACAGCCAATTTGACTTTCTTATGCTTATGCTTGTTCTTCTTCGGAGTAGTGTAGTTCTTCTTCTTGCGTTTCTTTCCGCCACCACGAAGTCGCAAAACAAGGTGCAAAGTGGACTCTAAAATCAAATTATCGCAACTAGAGTGAAAGGGTCATCGTCAAGGATCATCTCCATGACTCACCTTTCTGAATATTGTAATCACTAAGAGTTCTTCCGTCTTCCAGCTGCTTCCCGGCAAATATCAATCGCTGCTGATCGGGTGGAATTCCTGAGAGTTAAACAAATATCGGAACAATAATTTCACCATAGCGAGAAATAGTGAAAGCCGAATCAAATAATACCTTCTTTATCCTGAATTTTTGCCTTGACATTTTCGATGGTGTCCGACGCTTCAACCTCAAGGGTAATCGTCTTACCCGTGAGGGTTTTCACAAAAATTTGCATGACTGCGTTTCGAGTTTGCAAAATACACACGAATCTGCAGCTGAGCAAAAATATCAACACATGAAATGAAACACGATGGATTAACGGTCAAGCACGCGAGTAAAAGATATATCGTGGAAAGAAAAAAAGATTAAGTCAAGGTACGTTCTTTTTCTGTCCTCGTTTTGAGACGCAACATGTAAACAAGCAAGCATTACTGCTGTTCCTCAGGATTTGAAAACACGTAAGTTAAACCGCATTTCCCGCAATACTGGCGATCGAACATGCCAGCCATGAAAACCCCAGCTCCGCAGTCTGGTCCAGGACATTCCCGACGCAAACGGTGAATCTTCCCGTTCTCATCCACCTGGAAAAAATATTTTCTGTAGGATGACCCATCTTTCCTAATTCTACGTGGGTCTTGAAAAAAGGAACGATCATAACCTTGTAGTACTTCAGAACAGCAAGCTTGACTTTCTTATGCTTATGCTTGTTCTTCTTCGGCGTCGTGTAATTCTTCTTCTTGCGTTTCTTACCGCCACCACGAAGACGAAGGACGAGATGAAGAGTAGATTCTAAAGGGAAAATGCCACATTTCATAACTCCGTTATTCTAGATTCCTACGGATAGTCCACACCTTTCTGAATATTATAGTCGCTCAATGTTCTTCCATCTTCCAGCTGTTTTCCAGCGAAGATCAATCGCTGTTGATCCGGAGGAATTCCTGAAAAATAATGGCAAAAATACGTAAAAACATTTGGTAATATACTTCGCAATACAGTACTTCACACAAAAAAAAAGATGCGTGGGCTCACCTTCCTTGTCTTGGATTTTCGCTTTCACATTCTCGATCGTGTCAGACGCTTCAACCTCTAAGGTGATGGTCTTACCCGTTAGGGTTTTTACAAAGATTTGCATCGCGATTTACCACCCCTCCTCGACAACGCGCACAAAAAAAATCGAGGCTAAAAACAGAATATTTAATTATTTGAGGTATTTCAACAGCTCTTGGAAGCAAAATGAGAACGGTAAAATCTCTCACACATTGTTTTCCGTACAAATTTTTCGACCTCCACATGAAGAACAAACAGGAGGCCGAAAACAATCGTAAAACTGTTGACAGACCGCCAATGGCAACCACACGGGAGACAGTACTGCTTTAAAAAAAAAAACGTTGGTAAAAATAAAGTCGGACGTATTGTCTCGTCACAATCCGTTGCGAGGTTACTCAGACGATCTTGACTAGAATCAAAATAAACTCGCTATAAATTTTAAAATATCGGCTTTAGGGTTTGATGCTTTTTTCTATGTCATTCACGATTGTCTAAAAGAATAGAATAGAACTTCGATCATTCGTTTCCGTCGTCAGTCAAATTTTCAAGAGAAGATGCAACACCAACGGCATACAAGTAAAATATAAAAGTATATGCAGCCAGAGCAACCTCCTACAGCAATGATATACGACAAAAAACGTTACATGAAGGCCATAAAATAATTAAGTAATTCAATTTAAATAATCCCCACGACAAAATAGGCAACATGATCATCGCTGTAGAACTGTCCAGATGAAGCTTATAATAAAAATATTAGAACGGCACCCCATTCGAAGACACCAACTCAGATAGCGTGAAACCACTAGAAAAATAATCTCGCCTCATAAAACGAGCTGCTTTGACTTCAGTCAAACTTATGCTGCCATCTAAATTGCGAGTGACCACACCAAGGAAAGATCTCGATATTGCAGGCAAAAACGCCGTAAAAGCAGGTGATAGCGGGGAAACAAACTACTTCAAGCAAGATGAATGAGGAGGGGCGAGGATCACTGCAAACGCCGAACAGCCAGCGTGATTTTTTCTTTCATTTCAAACATATTTTGTAGAGCGTATTTCCTATTCTTTCAATCGTGCTCAGACGCCAGCCAAAATGATCAAATCACCAATACAGCGTCACCCACGAATGAAAGACATGTTTAGTCGTTCGAAGGATTATGGTGAGTCTGAAACGCGAAGATGAGCTGCATCCGACGCGTCCATGCTCGGAAACTCGCCAGGATCGAATTCTTCGAAGGAGGAGGCATCGTCATCGTGGTCTCCCGGAGGCAAGTCATCCTTGTGAATGTTTTCCATCATGTCATCTAGTTAAAAATACATTCAAAACATATGATTGGTCTTCAAAACGGAGGACATTAGGAAAGGACGATTAATCGAACGTCGTGAAGTTTGTGAAATATAATATTTGCTTTTACCGCACTACTCACTACGAATACTCGGTTAATTTCGTGATCATTCTTCCGACTCAGAAAATAGTCCCGAAATCTGCTCAAAAATTTTTCTCAAGGACTCATGTTAAAAGATGAATCATTCGTAGATCACGTTGAAAAGAATTGATCGAATCAAAACTAAAGAAGGAACAAAATCGCAAGCATCCTAACGTTTGCTTTTTTCGACACTTCATTACGGTATTTCCTTTTTGCGACTGGCCGCTTAATTTTCGTAATACTGCACAGTACAAGCAGCGTTGATACAGGGGACATTACTAGAATAAAACCTCGACACAAATTCGATTATTATCAACGAAAGTTTTGTCGAACGAGCCGATGGGGTTCAATCTTCTACGTAGCGTACACTGGTAGTTCTGAACTGCTACTCGAGAAGCTTCCCGAATTCTCCCCGCAAGCTATCAGAGAAGTACGCTGATGATTCCTTCATGCGCAAAAATACCAGCTTCAACGTGCGGAAGTTCCACCCCACCAACGGGGGCGGACGGAAACTCGAAATAACTCCACATTACGCGATGTTCTCTGAGGTTCCTTAAAGTTTGGTTACATTCGGGTTTCCCATTCGAAATACAAATTCACTCACTCCAACCGTATAACCAAATACAGAATTTAATCCAAAAATTTTACGCAAGATATGTTAATGGCATGATCATGAAGATTCAATGAGTGAACACACCAATTGTTGAATCGCTTTCTGAGCTATCTTTGGAAACAGCAGGCTTTGTACCAGCTCGTCTCAACAAAGAAGGCATGTATTCCTCGAGAACTACCGATTCATCCGGTGACTGGTTCGCCGCCCGCTCCAGTAAACGAAGGTCTTCTTGACTTTCTTTCCACATGAATTCATCTACATGTTTGTCGGCCTCTGGCGACGGATCTGAACAACACAAAAACATTGAATCGCAAAGGAAAATGTCAAAATACAAGCTGTTCACAAGCGTAGCGTACCTGGTCCACAAATAAGACTCCAAAAGAGACGATTCAATTGCACTGAATTGTGTATCATTCCCGGGGCGGTGAAGAGGACAAGGAAAAGAGCGTACAAGAACACAGGACCCGTGACAAGTGAACCAACGAAAGCGGTAGTTGAAAGTGTTCCAAGCATCATCACAGCATACTATAAAACAGATATTGTTGGATGGGTCGGATACGAAAATTTACACTTTTGCCTACATTTCTCGGTTGCTCCTTGCGCAAAGTTTTGAAAGCTTCGAAATACCTCTTCCCCACAGTTTTAAGTTTCTGCAGTGCAACTTGTATTTCCGGTGCACTAAGGACACTTCGAGGGGCAAATCAGAAGTCAAATTCGCAAAAAAAAAGTTTTTCTACGAAACCTGTACCTGTTTTCCATGAGTGTCCAATCTTCCGCCTCCTTTTGATCTTCTCGCTGTTCAGATGTCGGTGATACGGATATGGCTCCCCAACAGTAGTTGAAAATCATCCGGCCGTTGTACAAAAGGAGCACCTCGAACAACAGTCCGAGTGGTCTCATCGATGCAAGGAACCTAGAACGGAACCTGGTCATGGAACATGCGACCACAGAAGCATTTATTTCAGCCCTTACCAGTATGTAAACGTGAAGCACGTTAAGAATATGGAACTGAGCGGAACATTATCCCACAGCACGATCTTTTGAAATGTTGCAAGTTTAGATTCATTTTGCGATAAAAATCCATGCCCAGATCGGTCGCCTTCACCACGATTAGGATGCTCTCCAACAATGGAGGAATAACGAGAACAGAATGCGTCTCTAACTATCGTACTTCCCCGCTGGAAGTAGTCCAAGACGGACATCGTTAAATAACCGGTTTCGAACAGATGCCGAAATTTCGACGGACGCTTTCCTGCCATACACACAAAAAAAAAATTGAATCTCTACATTAGATTACGATTTGGTTCCCTGAAAAATCCTAATTCCGCGGAATATCACTGCCAGCGTTGAGGTAGAACAAGTTATCGGCCGTCACATCTCTCAAACACGAACAGAATCGCGATCCACTGTACAGGAATAATAAGTTCACGATTACCTCGCTTAACGCTCAGAGACCTGCAATAGTTCTTGTATCTTGCTCCTGTTTCACACTCGTTACCATGTCGAAATCTTTTCACACATAAGCATAGCACTTGAACGTTCTCGTCCGAGCGCAAATTCAAGAAATGTTCTTCAAAGTTCAGGTTTCATTTTCGCTGAATCCACCAGATTAAAACGTACATGTGGATTACTCGAAGATTTCCGAGGAGTGTGGTCGCCAGTCGAATGCTACAATTGTGGGTGAATGCTACAAGTTTCTGCCGGTAAGAGTTTAAGTAATAGTAAAATTGGTGTCGCTACTATTACTCTCACCATGCGCAACTCCAGTTCAGTACTTTACAGTACTGTATCTGTATTTCTGCTTCGTTTATACCTGACCTATACTAGCTTGGAATATAGAAAAAAAATGAATGGAATGGTTACCCAGCAATTCAGACATCATGGTTCCACCCCATACCTTCCGATGACTTGCCCTTATGAGATTACGAAGTGTGATGACCATGAAAGAAGTCCCTCTTAAATTTCGGGACTTTTGAGTTGGGGAAAACGTACAATCTTTACAAAATGAATACTGTACATAGGAAGTTAACATTGATCATTTTATAGCCTTAAATTGCTGTAAAGTGCAGTATATATTTATTTGAAGGCAAAGATGTATTTCCCCAGCAATTGGTCTTCGTCTTTCATTGGTCCTTTTATACAGTACATTGCGCGTTGACAAATGGGCCAAATGAAAATTGCATGTCAGGAGTCAAGACTTAGTTTCACTTAACATTAAATAAAATCCAGCAATTTCTTTCCTAGAGTGGTGTGTCATCCTCCAGAACTTCAGTATGTCCAGATTACCTCAGTGATCCTATACTATTCCTTGTACATTTATGAACCATTACCGATGAACATTGCATTGATTTGCCTCAATTCAAAACAGTAAATGTTCCCGTAAGTTGAAAATCGAGCAAAAAGAATAAGTGGAAATTAAATAGAACACTGACGCGCTTCCTAGCAACTGTTCAATGTAAATCTTTTAGAAGTGCCAATATAATTGTTCATATACATAGAGAAGAACCATAACCACACATGCTTCACGGATATTAAGGACAAGAAGAGAGGTTCACATTTAGTGAATTAAAAAAAGAATTCCATGCAGCAAGAATCAACCAGAAAAAAGTGCAATATTCCAGAATTTCAAGAAGAAGTCAACGACCTGAACTGCACACACGTGTGAATGAACATTTGCCACAGATGACAAATTATATAATCCTGAATATTCAACAGGGAAAAAAACCTCAAATCTAGTTTCAACCTGGCGAAGTCAATGATTTGAATCTATACGTCAGGAAGTACGTGCAGAACTTGGCCATCGTTTTTGTTGTTCAGCAATAGGTCTTTTCCACTCAGTCTGCATCACATGGATCATTGTGCACATTTACAATATCAAAGTTTTTCAGGATCAACGGCAGAGACACCAATGCAATTCAAGTTAATGTATCCCAAATATAGCACACAAGCGTCCCATATATCGAAACAAGCTGGCCGTTCAGATCAGCAACCATTATTTTCGCACTTCGTAGTTGGACTACAGTGATTCTTTTTTCTTGGACAGTAAATACTGTATCTGAAAGCAGAAACTGCCACGGAACAGTTCGGAAATACCCAAAAATTTGGCTTTTGTTACTGCAAAAAAGATTATTTCCTGTTCTCAAAGTTTGTGGGGGAACACTGAGGTTGAACACAGCTTAGGCGCTTGCATGAATATTTTCTGGAATTTCATGCGATCTGTGTGCAATTCAGAATTTGAAAAACAGAACAATGAAAATCCGTGAATTCTAATCAGAATCACACTTCTTTATGTGCTGAGGAAGCGACGCGATCACCAGCAGAAAATTTGAGAAAATCTACATTAGCTTCTTGCAGGCCAAAAAAAAGCTAAATGAAATAAATAATGCGACATTGAATACGGATAAGCAACGATATTCCAAAACATTCCTTAGAAATCGCATCACCAACAATTCCCAGACACAAGCACAGTCCGATGATCAGTTGCAAGAATTTCCAATGAATTCTTCCCGAAAGGACCTGCTCCCATTATATTATTCCACGGTAATGGATCGGCTTGCACAAATACAAGCACGACAGCGCGAAACATACAAAAGATTCTTCAGATATCCCACACACAAAAAAAAAAAAAAAAAAAAACCACGATTTTCACTGAAGGCGCAGAATACGATCAACGACGACAGACCTCTGCTTCACACATACACATTGAAATTGGCTATGTGCAGGGGTCGGCGTTCAGACTGCTCCTTTCTTTCAGAGCCGGTATTCTTCCCTTAATAAACTGCACACTTTTTATCATCACATCACTCAAGGCTTTGTCAATGACTCTTTGAGGAATCCATCCATTCAGATCAGTTTGTACCATGGCCTGGAAAAACACGAAAAATTCCGTAAGATGGAATCAACGACCGGAATACATTTTGAGCTCTTCCTCGATATACCCTCGCTTTGAATTATGCTAGTAAATGGTAAGCCTTACGGCCCACACACAGTTTACCCCACCCGCATCATTTGTATAACAAGCTTCATGAAAAAAAAATTGAGCGGGGTATAAAGCGAGAACAACAAAATTTAGCAATGAAGAAACAAAAATGTGCGAACCTTCAGATGGGCCTGATCTTCCCTTCCTTCCACAGGGAAAAGAGCGATACAGCTTGGTCCATTAATGCCTCGAACAATTTTGGGTTGCGGAGGCATGCTTGAATGCTCCACGGAAGCTCCGGAGGACACATAAATACCTCCGGCACGAATAACCCAATGCCGCAAATCCACGAAGTCCCGACTCGATACAATGCCACCAGCGGCGTCATTTGTAACCTGTGGAAATCAAGTGTATACCTTTGATTTCGTCTGGACTAGCTCAAAACCTATTCACTGCCATACCTGGTAGATTATATCAGTAAATTCGTCAATGATCTGTAGAACTTTCGTCGATTTCAGGTTAGCATTCCACGTTGGAGCTTGCTCCGCATTATAAAATACTTCTGCCAGCAGTTCTCTGGGTGACAGATCCAGCGTCGTCTTTCATGAACAAAATGAACCACAGATTAATGTTACATCACGTTTTTAGCTCAAAAACCACACGAAGCATACCTCGACTTTGTAAAACTTGTTCTTATAATTCGGGTACTTCGCAGAATATAATAGCAGATGAGATTCAGTCCCTTCTCCAATTTTTTGTTGTAGGCCCCATTCTGCGGTGAAAAGTATATTCCAACATTCTTCAGCGATATCTCTGCCTCTCTTCCTTAAATTTTCTTCTCCATCAGTGAAACTTCTTTTGTTCTTCGACGAATACTCCCTAAGCCATAACAAAAAGATGAAACGAAAAATTCCTGGAAAAATACCTTTCTTAAAACTGTAACCCATCTTGATTTCCGGGTTCTTTGCAAATACAATGTTCAGAAAAATGTACAGAACACACTGTACACAGCAAGTAGAACAATTTTTTCCCTGCATATAACTGATAAACTGAGAAAAGATTACATTAGCCAGTACAGGATCGACAATACTGAACAATCATATTTTCAACAAGCAGATCAATCGAATGGCTCATCAAAATCTCACTTGTACTTGCTCGTTGGAAGAAGTCCAGGCAAGGCAGAAAGATCATCATCATCTTCCAAACCATGATCTGAGCCTCCACCAGAACTTGCAATGGGCGAATAGAAATTATAGATGGAACCAGCCACGGTCCCGCCAGGAGGACCTCGATAACCATGTCCTGGTGTCTGGAATGTTGGCAGAAGACGCTCACGAGATTCAGAACACGCGTACAAAAATTTTCCAGCTTTTGATTCCAATGGCAAGACTCGGAAATCAAGAAACCAAGTTTCAGCCCACGGCAAAATAAAGCTGACCAACAGGAACACCACTTCGAACATGTATGTGTTATGTTGCGTCCAGGAATAGAAGAAGACTTTGCTCACTAAGAATCCACAACTCAGTGTTGTTGTTAACTGTAAAAGAGAAGTTCGGGAAAAATAATCACTTATTGCTGATCCAGATCTTCCTTGCTGCCAATAATGTGCTTTTTGTTAAGGGACCATGAAAAAGCGTTCATGAAATTCAATTCGAACAGATTTTTGAAAAAAAAAATAAATAAAATGAGGCAAGATAACATAACTGCCAATTCTCAAGACCAAGCGCAGAGACAGCAGATACGTTTCGTGAGATGTTCTAAAATTATGAAATACCTGGATTCTCTCCAGTTTGTAGAAGCAGGTTGCTCAAATAAAAAAAAATATATATACATGACGCACAAAGAAGTGGTTGAAATTTAGTTATATACTGAGGCGGCAACGCATTAACAGATCGAACGTATTGTGGAGGATCGTCCGGACAGACGAGTAAGACCCAAAGCAGAACAGTTGCAAGAAGACTCCAGCATTAAGAGACTTTTCTTATATATAAAAAAAAATTGCGTTGGGTTTGGTCAGTAAAACCACAAAGAACACTTGAAACTCACAGCGACCGGCCACCAATGCTTGAATCTCATCAGGGCGAACGTGAACACAAGGAACACAAACCTTGCCGCTGCAACGCACTGCAACCACAAAAAACCAGACATGAGGAAAAACGCAATTAGGGATAAGCAGTTTCGTACCCCAGCGGAAAAAAGAGTTTCGCGAAAATCTGATTTCATATTCTTTTCATAATTCATAGATAGACGGTATGGTACTACAGTAATTTACTCTTTTCCGGTCGAAGTGTACAAGCACATCAGTACTGTAATGCTACTATGATTTACAGATGCTCCTTTCAGGATTCCAGCGCACACGTCGAAAAATCATGGATCAGTCTGAAGCTGCTTCCAAAATATGACCATTTACCCTGACATGAATCTCACAAAAAACCACGAATAATTGAATAATTATCAACGGACACTTGAATCATGAGCAGATAAGCATCAGATGAGAATTCAGCCTTGAGCTCTAATAATTCAGCGGTAGCAACAAGAAAGAAAGAATATTTCCGAAGAGAGCAAAATGTTTCGAAATCTTCAACCCATAGAATTTAACTGGCGTTCATTTAAAATGTACTCACCACCAGGTCGAAGAGAGAAGTGTATATAGTATATTGAACGATTTGTTGCTCGGCGCCTGCTCTCAAATTCACACCAGTGATCTGAAAAATGCAGCTCATCTTAAAACCGACTCAATGTAAGCTATGATAAATATAAATACTCACGACGATGGTAAGCAGCCACATGAGCGCTGAGAGCAACACATCGAACGTTACGAATAAACAGAAAAATCGGCGGACGGGTGATAGACAATCCCCATCGGATATGCCGTTACTCAACTCGTCCGTTTCATATATACTGCTCAGCGAAGGAAATCCTGGGTGAAAAATCAATACAGAAGTAATTTCAGCCGACTCATTCCTGGTTTTTTAAAAGTTTCAATTCGAGGATTAGAAGAAGGATCTAAATATTCCACAAAATCCGATCCATACAACAAAACGAAGTAAGATGATTCAACACTACGGACGAAGTCTATTCCACTTCTAAACGGATATCAAAAGATAATGAGATTAAATGGGTAAGGGGTACTGATCGCAGTCCATTGATTACCAATTGCGGGTCCATACGAGTTATTGGGCAGATCTGGTTGTGGTCTGAATTGCTGCGCTCGGCGCTGATGAAGGAGAAGAGCCAACTCTCCTTCTGACAAAGTCACAGCACCTCGTTGCAACGCAGGAAGACTGTTGACAGCAAAATCTTCACGCCGGGGTTCGGCATTATCTCCGTCGACGGTAGACGCGTCTGGGGAATTCGGCAGGGACGCCATTTCAAATAGCTGCAATTATCCTTAGTCCAGGCCAATCTTCAGGAGTCGACTTCATTTCTGAAAGACTCCTGCAAAAACGTAAAAAAGAATGACCGTGAAGAAAGGCGAAGACCGTAAACCTAGGGAAGTACAGAACACAAACCTCTTCCAGTATCGCAGACTCACAAATTCTCCAGAAATTCGATATCATCGCCAAACCACAACCTTGCATCAATCATGAACGTCACAAGGCTTACAAATGTTACTGAAACGGAGGAACACTTCAGTCTTGAAGGGGAGATGACAAAAATTGGATCTACAATCAATGTCATCCGTGAACAAATTTAGAAGTAAACTCAGCTTCTTTCGATACGTAACAACTGCTGACGAAAATGTATAAATTTTCACGCGCTCAGATACGGAGCATCTAAATCGCATCAACGGATATCTACGCCATTGCGTGCATCAGTGATTTTGCGCAATGCGGTAGAAGTAGAACCCATTTCCTAGAAAGTTCGTAAACTCACAAATGGCTTCAGGAACTCTGTACAAATTCTCCCACAAGAGGGTAATGAGGAACTTGAAGGTTCGAAAGTGAAGCCGATTATTCGGCGGCGGGAACGAGCTTTTATCTTCCACATTCATCGCATAGAAACTCATACGGATCGTGTCAGAGCGGATGTTGAAGGTTCTGAAAATTTTGAGCGAATAAACATACTTATGAAACCTAATAACAATGATGCATCAAATAATCACAGACATTACCACAAGTAACACACACAAGTACCGTACAACACTAGGCGTCCAGTAAATCATGCTCACGGAATCCATACATAAGTACATCATTCGTCACACGATAAACCGTAGAGCTGCATTCATACGGATGTAGCCCACCCTACTATAGTACTTTGAATTTGACCGAAATCAAAAGGTGTGTTTCGCTATCAATTCTATTATTTTGGGCGCAAGATCAGATCCTAATGAGAAGCATCAAGCAAAAGTAAAACTACCACTTGGTATACTGATTCAGAAAATTATTTGCAACTCTGTGAGATAATCAAACTCTTTCAAAAGCCATCCGCTTGATGGGTCCGATTTCACACTGTGGGAAATGTGGAGAGGAATATCCCCCCCTCATCTCAGTCAGCCACACACGTCGGGAACGCGTGAAACTTGTGAATGCACGAGAATGGAGTGCTGTTTTGGTACGCGATCTTCTATGCTGAATAGACAAAGTGCAGCATGGCTGCGCGGGATATTGAGATTCACCACAAAAGCTGAGATTTTCCAGTAATTGGTTTGTTTTCTGCATAGAAACAGTACAGTACAGCAATGTAAAATGCTTTTTAACCGTACCTGTATGGGTATGGGGCGCAAAGTGCAGATAAGTATTAGAGCGACACCAGTATATTGTAATCATCTTGTAAGAAGCAGCGTCTATTTCTCCCACCAATGCTCCGTTCCCCTATGAAATTAACCTCCCTCGATACACAGTTGTTGACTCCACTGTTCTACAAATCGGCTCATTTGTGCGTGTGTTGAAGTAGCCGCGGCACGAACAAGTTCAGGAGAGTTGGTGGATGATGATTACACCTTCCCTATCGAAAGTTGGGGCAGGCGGCAGTGATTTGACGTGTACTGCGTGAGTGAATGGTCCCTGTTTGAAATGGAAGATACGAATGTGGTTTTCGCCGTAGCTGTAGCCTGTTTGGTTGCGGTTACGTCGACACTGGTGTACTTCATACGGTACCTGTCATCCAAGCCTTGTGAAAATTCACAGCCGGAGAAAAATGGTTAGCTGAAGAGCAGTAACTTCTTTTCACATGTATCTCGAATTCCTCTTTTTCATTTGATTTATAGGCGTTGCGAATAAAGATCCAATCGGTGAGAGCAAGACCATTCCGCAGCCGAAGAAAAAAAATGTATTCGAGCATAAGAAGATATCGAAATCAAATTTCTCTCATCCTTGGCTTTCAAAATCCCTGAAAGCGCATACTGGAAATGTCCTTGACGCCGATATGAGTAGTTCGGGGAAATACTTCGCAACGGCTTCGGAAGGTGAATATTTTCGCGCTAAAAATGTAAATTATCATGAAATTAATTCTCTTATTTTCAGATCGTTCTATTATCCTCTGGGCTACTTCAGATTTCAGTACGAAAAATAATACTCACAATAAAGGTCGTGTGGAATTCGATCATGCCCTACGAGTATGTTGGAGTCCGGACTCGAAAGCTCTTGTGACGTACAAAGCCGCTGCTAATTGCGTTGAAGTTTATAAATTAACCAAGTCGGCTGAAGGGAAATTCTCAGGATTCGAAGTGGTTGTTACTTTTCCAGTGGTAAGGGCATTGTCTTATTTGCGATTCTTTGCGAGTATAAAGGTTGTATTCTCTCTGGTGTGATTTTCTACAGTTACACGAATCTGGAGAGATTGCTGGCATGGGGATTGACATAAATGGACGCTATATTATGACATGTTCAACTGATAATGAGCTGGTGATCTGGACCTTGAAGGGTGAAGTCCTGCATCGTATGAACACCAACATGGGTTCCACGCATGCTGCTGTTCTTTCTCCTTGTGGGCGTTTCGTGACTGTCTGCGGTATTTTATTGCTAATCTGTAGCCAGAAATCAAACGTTGTTCTGACGTTTCTTTCGACTTGAGTAGGATTCACTCCGGACGTGAAAGTCATGGAAGTGGTATTTTCGAAGACCGGATCGTTCGAAAAGGTCAACCGTTCGTTCGACCTAAAAGGTCACACGTCCGGGGTTTTCCATGTTTCTACAAATACAGATTCTACAAAAATGGCGACAGTTTCGAAGGATAACAGCTGGAAGATGTTCGATACAAAGAGTGAGGAATATAATGAAATTTATCGTATAATTTTCATTATAAACGTTGATTGACTTTTCCAGTTGATTACGGCAAGGGACAAGAGCCTAGCCTGCTTTTCTCGATTGCGTTTGACACGCGGGGAGAGAAAGCTTTAATTGCTTTGTCACCTGACGGTCGATCTGTTGCGATTGCCAGTTCGACAGATGTATTCTTTTATTCTGGCGTAACGGGCAAATTCGTGAAGAAAATCGAGCATGTCCACGAGGGTGAGGACTTTTTAAAATTGAATTTTCATCTTTCCCTGAGATGAAAATATTTAATCGTTGTGATTTAGTAATGAGCTTTACTTCATGTGTTCAAATTTGATAAACGAATTATGGGAACTGACTTTCCGACGCCAACGCCAAAAACAAATTTAATGAAAATATCGTAAAAATCAAAGAAAAAAATTTCTAAAATTTGTGTTTGTTTTAGGACCGCACGTGCGTTAATTCGGAAATACTGTATTTCTTCCTTCTCCACAGAACCAATCACTTTCCTCGTTTTCGACCCATCAAACAAGTTTTTACTCTCTGGCGGTGACAAACAAGTCAGGGTTTTCCATAACGTTGTCGGTTACCTTGCAACGATAGAAGATTTGGAACAGAAGAAGCGAACCGCATCACACACAGCGATGAGAGATCGGATTGCGGACCAAATCGCGGAGGCGCAAAAGTTTTTGGCATCTTTGGGTGAATGTTGATGGAATCATTTGTGCTATTCTTGGCTGAAGTGGAAAGAAATAGCTCGGAATCTTCGTTTCTGCTCCTAGCGGAAGTTTATTTCTGATTATATTCCCTGAATGCAATCGAAGTGACGTTAATCAACATGCTTGTGGAGGACGACGTGCATCTTCGTAATGCTCAGTCCGCAGGGAAGTTTCAATCACGATGCTGCGATTTCTATGCTACTTCATTGAATACATTTCACTAGTTGACAGAAGGAAGTTGTTCTAAAAGTTTATCCTTATTATTTCGCTGAAACTTTTTCAATGAGGATTGACCTCTCATATGGCCTGTGTGAAGTAATGGAGCGATTTGCAAATTTTCTCAGAAGGCTTGGTTGGGAGTTGAAATGCAGGTTTGCTGAAGATTCACTTTTTGCAGAGGAAGAGCATCACTTCATGCAAGAGTACTGCGAATGAAATTGGTGAGGTTACAAAATTATTATACAAAAAGCGCCATGGATTTCACCATGTGCCTGCAAGCAACTGTTGAATGAATTAAATTGCATTCAATATTGTCCCAATCCGGTATCTGGTATGGAATTCGTTGTTAATTATTATTTTAAAGATATCATTCATCTTGATGAAATTAAATAATTTATTCTAGCTGTCATTTTCAGGAGCTAATTCACATGGGGGGTTCTGGCAGCCTCTATGATGAAGATGTATTCGAAATACTCTCAAGGATGTGTAAAAAAAAAAACTCGTAGGTAAGCTTCAACATGGTTTTGATTCCCTGTAGGAGTGCATTCTGAATTGCAGGAACACCTATTTGGCACTGTTCGTGGATGATAACGCAACGAATATCCTGAAATTCTTTTATTGGTGTATGCGTCACATCTCCCATGCGAATGTATAACTAAAATTTAATTATTTTTGAAGATCCCGAATTTAAACTAGAATTTAAAATTGCAATGCGCTAATATTTTACTGTAAAAATAGAAAGCTTTGCATCTTGAAAATCAATGCAAACTAATTTTTTTTGTCATCTAAAAAAAAGACAAATCAGTCCTCTATGCTCGAAATAAGGAGTTCGAAATTCTCCCATGCATGAATGAAAAAGATGATCTTTCAGATTCAGTATATACTTCATCAAAGTTGCGAAGCAATAGTGGAATGAAAAGAGCACAAATCATCATTATACAGTATTGATATACAGTACAGTACAGTACTAGAGTGGAAATTATAACCTGGAAAAATAATCGCCAAATTCCATTCAAGATAAGTGTATAGTAATGGACGATTTTTGAATTTTGTGATTTCAAAAGGTTCGAAATTTATGGTTTCTCAGACCATGTAAACAGCAGTATTATTATAGTACCACCTTTTTGAGCACCATAGTGCATGAAAACCAAAAACGCACTGTAAGTAGAAAATATTGAATGACTCATTGAAGTCTTCGAAATCGCAGGAACAGTAAGGTACCCCTTTACAGCGACATCTACCCTAGCATGTGGAACTCCCATGTTGTTCAACCAACCCATCTGCTTGACTGGAACATCTGGATATGAGATCTATGGTATCCAGATGTTCTGTACCAGACCAGAGGTGGAATCAGCAGGGAGCTTCCTTGCTCACTTTGCTCCAAGATTTGGACTTGAGCACTTCTACCTTTTATATTGTGACCCTTTTGACTATAGGTGTTGTGGTGAAGCAAATACGACTGTTTGTCATTGTGACAAGTTGTCAAAGACATTTATTTCTGTCAACAACCTTATTGAACATCTAACCATATGTATAGTGTACTGTACATTAAATGATGGATATACTGTATACCATTGATGGACTTACTGGTTGAAAAACATTTTGGCTTTTTATTCTCTCAACATCCAAATGATAGGGGTCACTGAAATGTTGCTCCCAAAATTTGTGTTACCATATTCCTCATGTTATTACTGTATTGCATAAAAATGATTCTGCAAGTAATTCAATCACTCTCTCTTGCAAGTATAGTCTTGAATATTTTCATCATAGGTGAGCTATTTATTCAAGAAGTAATTATATTTTTCAATATAAACATAAATATTAATTTTCAGTATGCAGTGGTGTCTTGCCTACCAGCAATCACATTGCCTAACAACTGATCCACCTAACAACCACTGAGAACCTAAAAAAAAACTTGTGTAACAACCACTGACCCACTTAGCAACTGCCTTCCCTTGAAATAGTGTATTTGGAAGAAAATGAATGTAAATGCAGTGTTTCTTCCCCTCAGCAAAAATTGTTGTTTCTCAACCATCTTTGTTGAAAGTGTGAAGAATGGAAGGAAATTGTAATTGGTGATATTATAGGCCTAAAATTGCTTCTCAAATGAGTTGACAGGATGCTGAACTTGGAGGCAAGGCTTCATTTGCCTAATTAATCCCCCACTTCCTTTCAAAAGTTAGTATAAGTTCATTTTTATGGCTTCCCTTCAAAATTGTTACATTTGTATGTCTTTCATCTTTTCCTGTGATAATAGAATAAAAGGGCTCCAGAATCCAATACTGTATATGGAGGTTTGAGGGGAAAGTCTCAGACTCAGGAAGGTTTTTAATGCATGTTGTTTAAGCTTAAATTCAGTCATAGACTTGAAAACAATTTGACTTCAGGAGGATCCATGTGTTATATCAATTGGTTAAATTTTAGTTTGCAAGAGGTCTCACCAGTGCTTGTACCTCATGCAAAAGTTACATCTATGCAAAGTCACACTGGAGGATTGACTCCTGCTTTGCTCATAGATGCTGCATGTGGATGATTTTGAATGTTGTGGGTTATTTTTGAAAGAGAGCAATGCAATTTAATAAGGAAAAGCATTTGAATGAACTCTAGCAGTGTTTTCAGGGATGTATGCTTTGTTATTTGAGAACATAGGCATAAAATTTTACATTTTTCTGCCAGATTTTTTTCGTCTCAGGAACCAATTAATGATGGGTTTTACATTGATCCTTGAGGGAAAATGTGACCAGCCTTACAAACATGTAGCGTAGAAGTTCCTTTCTGTGAAAAAATATCACCGCAGAATCCAAAAAATAATTTTTATAAGTGAATATATTCTGTCATCAAATACATCAGTACTTCTTCAAATTGCTGTTGCTGGGAAAAGAAGCCGCGGTTGCACTGAGAATATTCCTGTAATGCACCATTGATGACTTAATTTGTATGGAGTGCAAGACATGTAAGTGAGGATACTGCGTAATTAACGCACACACCAGTTTTAGAGAGCCATTTAAGAATGACATTGCACAAAGGAGCCGTCAAAGTTCATGTAGAAACGTTGTAGGAAAATATGTTCTACATATATAAACGCAAATCCAAACAGACATCGCACTTGATCCTCAATTTTTGTTTTACCTGCACTCAACAGCTATCCAGTAAATACTGTATGTCGGACTCAGAAAGATCATTGTGAAAAATAGCTTTAGAAGAATAATCACGAGATGTGCAGCAAACGCATGTGCATAGCAAATGATGGAAATTGTAATACAGTACTCACCTTATAGGTAGGACGAAATTTATCGTCCCACATCTTTTATCAAATCCGTCAGCTCAAAAGTAATGACATCTTTAGAACGCCAATAATTTGTTTGAGGAGACCACATTTTTTTTGCGTCAAATCCCTTCGCGGAAATATCGTGTACAGTAAATGGGAAGTCCGCACCTATACATACAGCAGTATTCCAAATGCTGCACCAGCAGCAGTGATGCACAGGACACAGCATTTTTTGAACCAAAAACGTCTGGGGAAAAAATGTTTGCCTATTAGTCAAGCACATTCAATGCAACCTGATACAGTATTTAGTACATACCATTAATCTTACCTGATGAGTATACTATAGGCACACTCAAGTAAGACTCTCATCTTTAATCATTTTTGGGCTCGAAATTCGCCCAAGAACCTATCCCCGGATGAAACCTTCACCTTAGTTTTTGTTGACTGAAAATAAAAATTAGACCTTCCAATGATACTTTTTTTTTCAACAAAACAACCTCATCATAGAATCTAAAGAACATGAAGAATTGAATCAGGATTGGGGTCCAAATATAATTTCTATCTATTTTCCCCCCCCTGAGACTAACTTATACCTTACACCAATATTGTTTCATGAGTTTTTGTCTCTCAAAAATTTTACACCGGGATACCACGCGCACCCTGCTTTTCTGCATCAATTTTCCACCTAAAAAAAATGCGTGCTGGGGAGTCGGGATATAGTTTTTTTTAAATATGGACATTTTCTTCAACAAATAAGGAGAACACGTTTTATGATTTGGGTCTTTAGGATTTTGCTCTTGAATCGATCAATCAAGGTCAATAACTGGGACAACGACCCTGAAAGCACTTCCTATACATGTTGCTTGTTTATCGCATATATGCATTCCTCTTACTGCATCACGTTGCACCTCATTGGTCGTAGCTGTGCAGCAAAAATCGCCCTCAGCAAGCATGTGAAAGAAAACTCGGCCACTTCTTTTTTTTCTCATTGCCTGGGTTCGCAGCCTGTGATGGAGAATTGCCCTGATGCACGCTCTTTCAACGAAAAATAAAAGAGAAACCAGCTAGTAAAAGAAAGGAAAGGAAAACGACTGCTGAACGCGGGGCTCCCGCCATGAGCAGGCGAAGGAAATCGTGTTGGGAAGTCACCCTCATTCAGGCATTCGGGCGGGCTTCAGCAGCATCATGTTCTTGAATTTTCTGACCACTGTCTCTGTGGGATGCGACGCATTCTACGTGGCTACGTGCAACAGCCACGTGCAACAGCTAGTGTACTTGTGGTGCTCAGTGAATTCAGTTTACTGTATTTTGTAAAGGCGTGTACATGCGACAGGTTGTGCAAATTTCCCTCATTCCTCTTTTTTCAATCCACGGTTGAAATTGTTCTGGAATCTGCGAGGGGACCGTGCGAGTTTTCTCCATACCAGAGAATAAGACCGATATCGCTTATGATGGCGTTGGTATTTTCTTCAATAAGCCCGAATCCGAATAAGACTGAGAACAGAAAAAAACAAGCAAAACCTACGTAAAAACTTTCAGAAAAACTGCTGATGCAGTTATATACAGTACTGTACATGCTTGTACGACGAGATATCCTCAGCAGTAAACTGAACACAACTTTTGACACATTCCACAACTCATTTGCATCTGATTTCTTCAAGTTTACCACAGTATTTGAGTCCAGGTTGGAATTAACTTCTGGAATTTAAAAACACAAAATCGCTTTAGAAATAGCAGACATATCACCCCTTCGAATATATTGTAAAGTGAAAAATTATATTGCAGGAATAGAAAAAAATAAGAATGGTTTTCCGTTGATCATGAACGAGCTACATCCTACGCAGGGTCGAATTTTCTCCATTTTTAGTGGACATTATCTGCGTCAAAATGATTGATCATGGGATTTCTTAATTTATATTTTAAGGCATTCTATATATGCAGTTCGATCATGTAATCCTCAGCACAGATGGTCCAACCTCTTAAATTACGGTATGTTCCGTTTCCATGGTTGAATGGAAAATGTACTATGTATAAATTACAATATGATTATCCAGTATATGTGCGAAAAAATTTCAACTCATGGGACAGGAAGAATTAAATAGGGGAGGATTCCTAACGATAGAACTCCTTGCTGTAAAATAATCCATCAATAATTCATTCAGATCAAGTTTATTTAAATTTTTGTACTGTAACAAATAAAAATAATTTATGTTCATGATGATGGCATTGATTGACTGATCAAGAACAATATACTGTATGTGTGATACACATGTATGTACACAGTTCTTGTATTTCTGATAATAGGAATACTGTACTGATACTAATCGAAAGTTTGTTCGCTCCTCAACGACAGCCCTCATGTGAACACCAAGGCTATTCTATATATATAGTTAACGAGGGTCGTTGATCCGAGTCTTCATAACGTTGATGTCGCTCCAATTGCTTACGTAAGCATCATGTCCTTGAGATAATTTCTGAGATAATTGAAACAAAATATTGATGACTGCGCGTGAAAATATCAGAAAGTTTGTGAAGTGTGTGCGAACATTCCACAGCCTGCTTCTAGTTTTGAACCAAGTGTGTCAATAATTCAGCCGCTCATGCAATAGGATACACTGGAAAGCTCAGCAAAAACAGTATAAAATCAATGATTCCGACAAAATTGATTGAGATTTTTGGAAATTATTGACATGTTTTTTTTTGGAAATATGAACTGAAAAATTTCGTAGCAAAAATACGGTACTGTTGTCTGCCACAAAAATCTCGTTCGTGATATAGTGAGCATCGGTTTTCAAAAGTTGGGCGCGAAACCATCTGAAAATGCTTGCATAGTATAATACTTCATAATTAAATGAACGATAAACAGATATGCAGCATTAAATTATAACAACACACAAAAACAGCCCGAAATGCGAGGTACTGTAGATGCTGAAATCTCAAATCCATCTATGTCACGTCTCGCAAATTGGACGTGTGCTGGCAATCTTGCAAATAAGCTGCTATATCTGTCGAAAAGGGGATAATTTACTGTACTCTACTGTATATCATATACGTCTGACACGATTTTCTGCAACAAGATATATATTTTTAAATCTCAGTGCATTATTATTTGTCGAAAAAAAGTTGTTACTCTATACATTAGTGTACTGAATGAAATCGATTCATCACTCAACCTTCAAAGAAATACATTATTTCATATATTTCACGCTTTTATTTTCCAAGTATTCGCGTCGATCTTGGGTTGCGCATGTGAGTCACTAAAAGAAGGGACGCGCTCCTTTTTACAACGCATTGCAATAAGATAACAGACAGCGCGAACGCTCAAAGAAGCGGCTTTCGTCACCGCCGTTAGGGTGCCTGCGGCGCTTTTGAGAACTTCTTTAAATCCGGGCCGTCCTTCATACTCCTCAGCTCGTCAGTGCCCCCTTTCAAGGTAAGCAACAAAAAACCACAAGCGTTCTACAGTATTAATATATTCTCGTAGATGTCATTTGAAACTTGCACAGAAGGGGGATGGAAGCGTTATTCTTACATGGTCATTTGAAATATAATATTGATTTTCAAGTAGCCGCTACGCTGATAATTTAATCTGACCATCTCGCTATCAATCTCTTCTGTCCGTCGTCATAAACTTGGAAATTAAATAAAAATTATTTCCTCCAGAAAACTGCTGAAATAAGGCAACGACGGAAAAGATATGGCATATCACATGTCATTAAATAGTACTTTATTATGCCGTCATGGAGTTTACTGTGGACAAGATAGCGCCTACAGCACTTCGCTAAAGTTTTTTTCACTGAAGCTGATATGAAATATCATTTATTGTAACTGGATCCATTGAGTTATTTTAATCGTGTTGATAACATGTAGACGCGGATATGATGAATAGCAATCTCTCCTGTAGTTCTCTCTGGGAGAAACCGAATGTTGATGAAAAGTATTTCATAGTATCTTATGTACCTTATTCCTGAAGGTGACGTCGTGAAACGAATAAAAGATGACCTGATCTTAAGCTTCTGATGTTCATCATTACATTATTGCTAACAGAGTCTAACGGAATTAGAAACGTGATGGTATTTTGAAAGCTAAAAACCCATGCGGAAGCCCAAAAAATTCAATAATGCTTTCTATGACGCAAGTACGAGTATAGTATTCGTTGACCAAATATCATAAGCATATATGGTAATATGGGCGAAATTCAAAAGGGCAAGTGCAGATGAGAAGACTGTGTTCAAAAGATCAGCTTCGTGATATCGTGAATGAAAAAAAGTATAAACTATGAAGAAGGAAAACACAGGATGAAGGCTCTATTTTAGGTCAAGTTTGTAAGATTAGAATATTGATGCCTGGAATGTAAATTCGTTATGAGTTGGCTTTTCAAAAATTATATTCCTTCGTTACAAATTTTTTTTCTGCTGACACGTGCTCTCTTGATACGAAACTTCATTGCTCGTGCATTCTATTTCAATATTATAGCCGTTTTATTGCATGTGGTTGACCAAGTACAGTACTTGCAGATGAGCGCTTCGTACATTCATGAGAATGGATGTTCCGGAACTTGCTCTTTAGTGCATTCAGTTTTTTGTATTACGGTCATTTGTCGATATAATTTATTGCGTTCGTTTTCTGCCTCAGATCCTCAGATTATTATTCTTTTACGTTTTTTTTAATCATTTTTGGCGGCATAACCGCATAATCTTTGCGCATCGCAAAATGTATATGGGCTTGAAGCTAATGCTGGAGGGAAAGCGATTTTTTTTTCTCATGACAATCGCTTTTTTATTTGCATAGGGCAGTGAATGAAAACTCTGCGTAGCCATACATTATCTTCGAATACGTATATAAATTAAGTTCCTTTGCTATGGTCATGATGAATTCCGCCAGAACCGGATCGTCAGGCATCCAGCAAGAAATTTAATTGCCACATATGCTCTGTTCAAGACTACAGAATAATGAACCCGTTTTCTCATACTGTCGTGCATCGGTTGACGTTTACGACGCTCTTCATTGCTGCTTCAAGCAACCAAAAAAGGAACCTCGAAACAAAGCCGAGCGGTTAATGTTCTTGGAAGCGCAGAACTTTATAAATCTTTTAAAATATGTCCAGGCATTTTTTTCTGCGAAAAAATAAAAAAATAATNGGTCTTTTGACGACTTTATTCCGTTGCTGCCTTTTCTATACCGTATAGTGTACAGTAATTTATCATGAAATAATACGGCAGTACCTCAAATGACACCTGTTCTATCGCGGATGTCGTGAAGCGATTTTTTTCCCTTGAAGCTGATATGAAATATCATTTATTGTAACTGGATCCATTAAGTTATTTTAATCGTGTTGATATATAGCATGTAGACGCGGATATGATGAATAGCAATCTTTCTTGTAGTTCTCTCTGGGAGAAACCGAATGTTGATGAAAAGTATTTCATAGTATCTTATGTATTTTATTCCTGAAGGTGACGCGAAACGAATAAAAGATGACCTGATCTTAAGCTTCTGATGTTCATCATTACATTGCTAACAGAGTCTAACGGAATAGAAACGTGATGGTATTTTGAAAGCTAAAAACCCATGCGGAAGCCCAAAAAATTCAATAATGCTTTCTATGACGCAAGTACGAGTACTGTATAGTATTCGTTGACCAAATATTACAAGCATATATGGTAATATGGGCGAAATTCAAAAGGGCAAGTGCAGATGAGAAGACTGTGTTCAAAAGATCAACTTCGTGATATCGTGAATGAAAAAAAGTATAAACTATGAAGAAGGAAAACACAGGATGAAGGCTCTATTTTAGGTCAAGTTCGTAAGATTAGAATATTGATGCCTGTAATGTATATTCGTTATGAGTTGGCTTTTTAAAAATTATATTTCTTCGTTACAAATTTTTTTTTCTGCTGACACGTGCTCTCTTGATACGAAACTTCATTGCTCGTGCATTCTATTTCAATATTATAGCCGTTTTATATCATGCATGTGGTTGACCAAGTACAGTACTTGCAGATGAGCGCTTCGTACATTCATGAGAATGGATGTTCCGGAACTTGCTCTTTAGTGCATTCAGTTTTTTGTATTACGGTCATTTGTCGATATAATTTATTGCGTTCGTTTTCTGCCTCAGATCCTCAGATTATTATTCTTTTACGTTTTTTTTAATCATTTTTGGCGGCATAACCGCATAATCCTTGCGCATCGCAAAATGTATATGGGCTTGAAGCTAATGCTGGAGGGAAAGCGATTTATTTTTCTCATGACAATCGCTTTTTTATTCTTATAATGCAGTGAATGAAAACTTTGCGTGGCCATACATTATCTTCGAATAAGTATATAAATTCAGCTCCTCGGCTATGGTCATGATGAATTCCGCCAGAACCGGATCGTCAGGCATCCAGCAAGAAATTTAATTGCCACATATGCTCTGTTCAAGACTACAGAATAATGAACCCGTTTTCTCATACTGTCGTGCATCGGTTGACGTTTACGACGCTCTTCATTGCTGCTTCAAGCAACCAAAAAAGGAACCTCGAAACAAAGCCGAGCGGTTAATGTTCTTGGAAGCGCAGAACTTTATACCGCCAAGGGGATTAATTTACAACCCCGGGCGCGTCCTGAGACGCGCCAATTTTGGTAAACTCGAGCTATTTGTCCCTTCTCAGGGAAATTGACACCGCCGCTGGTGTCGAGAAAAAATTCCGCACACCGTTTTCTCATACTGTCGTGCATCGGTTGACGTTTACGACGCTCTTCATTGCTGCTTCAAGCAACCAAAAAAGGAACCTCGAAACAAAGCCGAGCGGTTAATGTTCTTGGAAGCGCAGAACTTTATAAATCTTTTAAAATATGTCCAGGCATTTTTTTCTGCGAAAAAATAAAAAAATTATTTTCTCATCTGTCGCGAATCATGGGTGACTGAATTAATAACAGACTTGCATCGGTCGGGTTCCTTGAATAAATTCAAGATGAAGTTTAATCATGAGTAGTTCTCTTATTCCTAATTAGGCGTATCCCGTTCTTCTGAATGTACACGTGGTAACTTGTTCAGGACAGATCAGTCGTACTGGTCGTACATATTTTCATTTTTTTCTACAATAGTCGTCTGAATATAAATGATCTTCAAGTGTCCGAGTAAATTACTTACTTTTCCGGGTTATTAATCTTTCCAGGTGCGTCTTTCGACGACATTGTAGTCGGGGCAGGAATAACCGGGCTGTGGACTGCTAATGAGTTGGCGAAAGCCGGTCGCAAAGTTCTCCTACTTGAACAGGTATGATATGAGTACAGTAATGTGTAATCCATTACAGGGCGGGCCAACGATCAACTTATTGAAACTGAAGTTATCCTTCGAATGCCTATAGAAAGATTGCTTCGAAAACATTTTATAAGTAAGCTTCATTTAATTACGTATGCGTCGATCTCTGATTTGGTAGTTATTCTACGTCGTTGCGGGTGTGACGATCGTTGCGATTAAAATAAAACGCGAAAAATCACCTCAGGTTCCTTGCTTGATTTAGTCACATAACCGGATTCCGAATCTTTTAAATCTAGTCCGAATTAATTTTCGGTGATGGAAAATTTATTCGATGCTTTTCAACAATTGATTGAAAAATGTTTATATCCTTTAAAATATTATGGGGGATAGACGAGGGTCAAGAATATTACAGTAATTCCAATTCGGTAGAAATGGAGAAAAACCTGTTTTCCAAAGGTAGGAGTGATAAGTTGAAAACCTACTCCAATATCAGTTTAGAATAAGACGCAAACTTGGAATGTAAATACTGTAACTAAAAAAGGAAAAAGCTAAAGCGCTTCTTGAAATCATATAGGATGCCTTTGAATGGTAAAATTATTCCTCCAGATCTTTTTTTAAGATTTTGAATACCAATAATTCAGCAAGAGGCTACTAATCATAGATTATCATTCTAGAGGTTCTTGAATGTATTTGAATTTAAATTTATTTTTCATCTTTTGTTTATGTTACCACACGTAATGTGAGTACGTTAGACTCCATTCAGTATAGTAGTTGAATACAAGGGTTGGTTCATAACTAAGTTTTGAGACTTTTTAAAATGCTGTATAGTTGCTGTTCCACACACTCTCTGCCTATTTCAGTGCATTTTTTCATGTGATAAATCCAACCGTAAAACCATTTTGGGAACAGCCCAAAGTCACAGGTTGCCTCATCAACTACGTGTATAACATATCCGAATTTTTGAAACTTGTTTGATGGTTGGATTTATTGCATGGAAAAATGAATTGAAATCGGCAGAGAGTATGTTGCACAAGTACTGAATTGTTGCCAAATGATCGGGCTAAGCGAGTAATTTTTTTGGGAATTGTTGAAACTGCGTTGGACGATCTATTTCAAAAAGTCTCAAAACTTATGAACGAAACCCTCGTATATTTTCTCATTATTTTTATATACCTTGTATAACTAATTCCGACGTCATTTTCCTCGGATATAATTCAAAGAAGGGCTTTCGAAGATGAGCTTTTCAATTTCAAAAACATTTTTTTTATGATTTCAAGTTCCCGCGATGCACGAGTCGCGGTGGATCAGCAGGAAGTTCTCGGGCTATCGAGCTCTCATTTCCGATCGTCGGCGCCGTATCTTCCTTCATGAATGGAATCAATCATTATGCAAATCTGCAGGCTGAAAGTGACATCCAAGTCATTGCGTGAGTTTTTATTCGATAATTTTTCTCTGCGATTGATTAAGCTGTCCACTCAAATTGGAACGTTTTCGATGACCTCCTCGATAAATAGTGTATCAGCAATCTGATATACGTATGCTCGCCTCGACAGATGTGGATGGTCGGTTTTTATGATCACTTGAAAGTGCGAGTAATGTGTGAACTAAACCCCTGACAAACAGAAAAATACGGTCACAGTACGTCTCCGATAACTCTTTTGATAGAGGTGTTTTGATGTATTCGTCTCGAAGCATGCGAACTAAGAAGCCCGTTCGTTGGGTCCTTTTCAACTGCTTGTTAGAGATGAAAATCTCTTTGAACTGACTTTAAAACTCTTTGATTGTCGCATGAGACAAGTGAAAAACGCTTTCCAATGCTTATCTTATGTTTTACTTGAAACCGCAATCCCCTACCGAGATGTGTGAAAATATTAACACCAAAAAGAAACCGCGGATCTCAAAGTCCCATTTATTGAAAACAAATTTTCGTGGTTGCAAGAACTGCAGCGCGAGATTCTGTTTTCTTGGAGTTTTTTTTTTCTCTTTTTCTGAATGATGAAACTAAAAGTAAGTGTCTCAATGCGTCAAGAATCCATGGAAAACCAAGTCGAAATGCAGTCGAATGAGTTTCGTTATGTTCTGAACTTGGAAGTTCTTGCTGTGAATACGAGTATATACGCAGCTAAAATGGGACCAGATTTTGATAATGTTTTTTTAAAACAGAATTTGATCCATCAACTATGCCGACAGAGTACGAATACTGGTGGAAATTGCTTCCGACAGATCTCAACTGCAATTACGGCTCAGGGATTTTTTTCTTCTCAAAGCCATTTTAGATGGTATTCTATCGTATTTTATCCAAAATTCTAATGTCAATGTAAAGTACCCTCAAATGTCGAGTGTGGTCATGAAGTGTTCGACGAATTGCAAATCGTCGAAAGCTGCTGGACTCCGATTGGATACCGCTCAATAAACTATACCGAATCGGCAGACTAAATACTTTTTGGACTCGAGTGTATCATTTGTTAAAATTTTCAGCGGAATGATTTTCAGGTGAGCTCGATCCCAGCTGATTAAAAATCAGGCAAAAAGGATTCAGTGTTTTTTAAAATTCATATTCTGAAAGGTTTTTCTCACGTCTGAGGCATTCCTGCTTTGAAATTCTGTTTCAGGGACTCAGATCTTCTAGTTCTTACTGATGACCCGATGGAAGGAACTCCGTTTCCAGCTTTATTGCGTGATCTTGAAGACAACTACGGAATTAAGCTGGAGCATTTGCATTCCGAAGAGCTGGTCAACAGATTCCCTGGCTATCAGTTCACTGAGCAGAGCCACGCAATTTACGACAATCAGACTGCCAAAGAATTGCTCGCTTCTGGTGCCATTCACGCTCTCTGGGTATGTCACCTTTTTCAGTCAACGATATAGCTCGCTTTACGTATAATTGATGCAATTCAGCAGCACATGAATGAGGAAGTACTGAAGTAATGATAAGAAACATTTTAGAATTAAGTGGCAGGTGTCTGACACGGTTCAAAATCTGGTTATTCTGAAGTGGTTGCTGCACGGGTGCTGAGAAAAAAATGTGTGGCACTAAAAGTCCGAGGTTTCTCGTCAGTTCAAACTTAAAAGAACCCAAAAACATTTTTAAATATGAACGCAGTCCATTTAGGAAAACTAGAATTTTTGCTGGGGAGAAATGTAAAATTACAGGACGATAAAATTTTTGACCTTCTGGGCCTTAAACTGCTGGTTAGATTGACAGGATATACTGAACTTGGAGGCTAGGGTTCATTTGCAAAAATATTCCCTCATGTCCTTTCGAAAAGCATCAAGTTAAAATTTCATCGTTCTTATCTTTCCTGAGTCCCCAGAATAATAGCCTAGACCCAGTTAAACAGATATTTGAAGGGGAAAATATTTGAGGTATAGTGAAGTCTGTATTACATCGTTCTCAACAGAATTCAGACGAAAACTGAACAAAAATATGACATGAGGAGGTTCTAAATTGTGAGTTAAAAAGTTCCAACTACTGTACTGTATGTGAAATACATGAACAATCTAAACTCACGGGAAAAAAAAAACTCCGCAACGCATTTTAAAATGCTTAGTCAATCCTGCTGAAATATTCAATTAGTACTATGTAAATATTTTCACGCAAAAGAGACCTTGAATCCTCAGTGATATATTTCCCGTGTATCAAATTTTCAGGGACAGTGTATGCGGAAATTTTTACGGATGTGTTCGTCTGCCAAAAATTAAAATAGTAAACCTTATTCATTTGAAATTCAGATAACCAGTGTGATCTAAATGGACAGCAAAGGTGTCATTATGCAAACCGTTATGTAAATTCTCCTACTCTAATTCATGAAGAAAGAAAAAAGACCTTTGAATATAAATACAGTGTCAGGTTGATTGTACTGCACGCTGTACAGTACTTGTTCATTAGTTGCAGGATCTTGTCCAATATTTGACTAATAAGTCTGGAATTTGATGTTGGAGGGGCACAAGTTGTATTCAGTCTTCCATTTCTAATTATTGGATTTACTTTACTGAGGTAGAAATTTTGAATTGAAATGATGAAGCCAGAGAGATGTGAAAGTATGTCATTTGTGCTGAAATATTCGCCCATTTGAAATTCCTCCCTTTTCTTACAATCTCATCATTCATCAGCCATGCTGAATTATTCTGAATTTTATATAGGCCACACCTTTTCTTGAGATGTGAAAGTATGTCATTTGTGCTGAAATATTCGCCCATTTGAAATTCCTCCCTTTTCTTACAATCTCATCATTCATCAGCCATGCTGAATTATTCTGAATTTTATATAGGCCACACCTTTTCTTGGAAAGAATACTCCGAAAAAGTTGGGTGCGGTCAACGCATATTCAAGACATCTCCGCGAATAGGCCACAAGTTACACAGCTTAGTATTCCCGATGCGGCCTATATTTGAAATAATTATTTATCCGTGTCAACGACCAAAACTTTTCTCTGCACTGGCTCTTTTCCCATACACAGGAAGTGTGTGACGCAGCAATTTCGAGATAATTCTACTTTATACCAGAGGTCTGATAATTTCTGGTGTTCTCCACAGATTTATAGTTTCATTCTAAAAACCTCACATTTATATTTGCGCCTGTTCCGCAGTTAAAAACAGTTTTTTAAAATTTGGGGCATGTGCATGCTGCTGTTCCTGAATGTCTGCTTAGCCAAACAACAACCAGGTGTGGCTTCGGCTTAAAATATGGTATTGGAAACACATTTAAAATCCTGTCGAGTGTGATACTGAAAACCGTGTGCCAAATGTTCAAAAAATATTTCGTTCACTTGAATTCAGACACTAGTTGAAGGCGAATGTGGGGAAAGTGCTTAAGCATCACAAAATGGGAAACGAAAGTGTCAAAATGGACTACACTTGAATATGCACTACATTGGGGATATTCATAAGCAAATGAAGATAATAAGCTTGCTCCTGGTCTAATCCTGTGAATGTTTTCAAGGGCATTTCCTCAAACACGTGCTGAGTACAATATTCAAAGGACTCCCTGAAAATTAGCAATTTCCGTATTTTCCTGATCAATTGATTCAGCGTGATTATTTTTAGAAGCTCGCGGCAAGTATATATTTAATGGAAATACAGTGAAGCTGACGTCGAGTCCGCTGATATGACGTGGCGATAAATATAGAAACATGAAAGGTTTTATTCCTGGATCCAAATTAAGAGCCCTTGCTGGTGAATCATTTGAAGTCGAGGGCGAAGTATATTTGAACCAAGCCTTATATTTGTACTTCAAAGGAAATGGCACCCAAGAACGGAGTTACAACCTGCAGTCCTTGCCCAGTGACCTCAGTTGCGGAAGTGGCTGATGCTGATGGCACGAGCAGACTGCGAGTCACTTGCAAAAGAACCCCCGTGGATCCGGCGGAATATTTGGCGAAAAACGTGATTCTCGCAACTGGAGCCGGAACTTCGTCCATCAACATAACCAACTCGAGAAACGAACCAGTACCCTTGCCGCAAGTAACGCCCCAACTCTGGGCTCAGCTTTATTTCAGGGTAGGTGCTTTTATCACATCCCGACACGACTCTATATTACTGCGAATGCCTTTTGTACGTGTCCTTGATGTGGAAATATCCGCGTTTCGCACTCGTGTCGACGAGTTCCACGACGTCATCGCAACATCTTGCGAATTTATGCGGAAATCTTAAGAAAAAAAAATCATATCGCATGACTTCAAGGAGTAGTTGCTGTATAGTCTGTTGTTTACTAGAGTTTGTTTGGGAAGCTTGCATCACCTTGGCTGAGGAAACAGTTTTTGTCACGCGGCATATTTTGAAATCATGTACTTTCGCACGCACTCTGGTATTTTAGATTTTGGGTTATATCCCTTCTTCATTTCACTGCAAAAACATGAAGTTGAAGAATGCAAATTTCCCCCAATATCTACTTCGGAAACCTATCTACTAATAGTTTTTCCTCAAGTGCATAATCTCAAATGATTTAATTTTCAAGAGAGATTTAATTTTCTCAGGATATACCTTTGTTTCGTACCCGGTGTTTATAAAGCTTACTGATAATGTACGTCGAGGCAAACGTGAAAAAAATCCATTCCAGATTTCTTATCGATCTCCACCTTGGTAAAGTTTCAAGCATTCATTTCAAGCCAGAATGTGAACGGAAAAACTTATGAAACCTTTAATAATGAAGCTGAATTTCATTGAAGTTCGTCTTCCACGAAAATTGATGCCACTTGATTCAAAAATATACAGCAAGTAAATTGTGCAAAGACTTTTCCTCGTGGAAGTACTGCACAATAAGAGCTCTCAGCAGCACAGATATCGAGAATAATCTAAGATTTGCATTGACGAAAAATCATTCCTCGACTTTTTAGATGTCATACTCAATGGGACGTTGCATGCGATTTAATGATTCTGTTTTCCCAGAGAAAATATCGGAAAGTTTCCTCGTCAATTATTATGATGGACTTTATAAACATGCCTTCATTAGGACTCTTCTTGATATTATCTGCTGTTTCAAATTTCACCAGTGACGTTATGACAATCGATTCTGATGAGTGCTTTGGTTTTGATTAAATCTTATCCATTTAGTTTGACCTAGAAAACAATTCGAATGCACGATATCCGAGTTTTTGTGTAAGTACATTCTCAGGGCTTCTCAAAGTAGGAGTGATTTCAAGGGGAGTCCCTGGAAAGACGAATTTCAGTAATTTTTAATCAATGAAACNATTCCAGATTTCTTATCGATCTCCACCTTGGTAAAGTTTCAAGCATTCATTTCAAGCCAGAATGTGAACGGAAAAACTTATGAAACCTTTAATAATGAAGCTGAATTTCATTGAAGTTCGTCTTCCATGAAAATTGATGCCGCTTGATTCAAAATGGCACAGCAAGTAAATCATGCAAAGATTTTTCCTCGTGGAAGTACTTCACAATAAGAGCTTTCAGCAGCATATAGATATTGGGAATAATCTAAGATTTGCATTGACGAAAAATCATTCCTCAACTTTTTAGATGTCAATGGGACGTTGCATGCGATTTAATAAGTCTGTTTTCCCAGAGAAAATATCGGAAAGTTGTACAGTATCGTCAATTACTGTATTATGATGGACTTTATAGACATGCCTTCATTAGGACTCTTCTTGATATTATCTGCTGTTTCAAATTTCACCAGTGACGTTATCACAATCGATTCTGAACTCACGAAACCAAAACTAATTTAGAATAGGTAAATCAAACTGGATCTTTTGTTAAGCTTACGTGCTATAGGCTCAAAAACACATTCATGTAAGAGTCCCGAAGAGTTTCATCCTCACTAAAGTTCCCGAGTCCCTGGAAAGACGAATTTGAGTAATTTTGAATCAATGAAACAATTCTTTCGAGACTTGATAAATTTGAAGGGAGCATACCCTGTTTCATAGAATCTTCGGTGAGGTTCGTATTGAACAAGGAGTACATTATAGTTATAATGTAAGTATATGTGAACTTTTGGAAAGCGCGTCTGGAACTCTGGATAATTGGGAACACGGCTTCCGTTTCTGACGCGCAATCAGCGGCATTTTGCATCAATTGAGTTCACCACTTCATGCTCTACTTTGCTAATCTTTTCATGAAATGTGTATAGAAAAAGCCGGATGTTCCGTGTTCCACGAATACCGGATTCATCGAGTGGGCGTGGCAGAACGGCGGAAATCCGATGTTGGCCTGGGGACGTCCTTCGATCAACACTCAAACCGACTACGATTTCTTGGTAAAGTATTATACAGTATATGCATTTTATCTAATCTGTTTCTGCCGTTGACCTCATTAACCGAACTCTTTCTTACATGAAATTTTCCAATTTCAACGCATTTACCCGCGAAAAACAGTCGAAAATTTCAATTTTTCTTAATTATTCAGGTAGCCCAAACTTTTTTCCGTTTTACCTGGTGCTGCAAAGACCAAAAAAATACAATACAGCAAGAGAAAATAGATGAACCTCTTCAAGTCAAACTCTCAATGAGATCAAAAAACTAGAAGAGTTTTTGAGTTGGAGAAACTAGCATTTTTAAAGGAAAAGAGAAGAATCATGCGATGAAGTTGAAATTGGTGACCATGTGGGTTTTAACCTGCATTGTAAATTATTTTGACAGGATGCTGAACTTGGAGCCAAGAGTTCTTTTGGCAGATCAGTCACTCACTAGAAAGGCACGGGTTTACATTTTTATTACTTTTCTTTTCCCGCAATCGTAGCCGAAAAGTTTCTCAGATTCTGGATCGTAAATGTTTGAGTGGGACATTTTTTGATTTACGGAGGTTTATTTTGTCCTCAAAGGGATTCTGGCGGGGACTAAGAAAATTTCTTAATGCGCTTCTGATTTCAGTATATTATATGTCGATGGTCAGGCTCAAGGATAAAAAAAATCAAAATGACTAGTCGAATAACTCTAATTTATTCTAAAGCTCTCCAGCAGCTGTTCAAAGAGCATTCGGTGAATTTTCTCCAGCATTGCCGCATTAAATTCGAATTCTCCGACTGAATCTCTCAATTTTTCTTCGGCGAAAAATATGTAATTTCTTGTTTTTTTAATTGACAGAAAAGTTACCATTTCATACTCGAAAAGATTGATGGGATATATTTTAGAAGATAAAAATGCCATCACGAATATGTTTTTATAAGTTATTCTATAATAACTGCGTGAAATTAGAGCTTGATAGATGGAAATACCATGCGAATAAAAGACTGAATGAGCTCTCCGAGAATAAAGTGCCTCTTTTGTGCTTCCACTTTGCCTTATATGGTCATACCTTCAATGCAGCCTGAAATCCAAGAACATAAACACAGTTTAACGAAAAAAAAAGAAAATTTAAATGCATTGAGAAAAGCAGGAAAGAAAACGTAACCCTGATGATGAGCTGCCTCCAGTGACCTCGGTACTGTATTAACCTGCAAAATCCACGGAAATGCTCCCAGATTTATCTATAATTTTATTAATTTATGTCTGATCTGAGACGCTCCTCCTGATGTCAAAATACTTCATCATTTCTTTCGCTGCAGAAATGTAGCATTCAAATTCAAATTACTTCCCGGAACCTTGAGGTTATCTCCAAGCGAACGCGATGCATCGCAAACACGCTATACCTTTTTATAAAAAAACAATTTCTTCGTGTTGATTTTTTGCTGCATTATTGCGATTCAGCGCTTTTCTGGGATCGTGAATACAATTGATGGTATGAGATCTAGCAGCCCTTATCTACGTACGTTACTACGTAAAGCCTCCTATTGCGTAAAAATTACGGCGTGAGTGCAAACGTAATTTAATCTCCAACTCACGGAAAAAGAAAGAATATAAATAACTATCTTATGATTTTTTTTCGATTCGAGAAATTTCTCCGTCGTCGCGTTTTAAATGACCCAGCGCACCTCTGGAAATTGTATAATGCTGAGGAAAACCAGGAAGAAATGCATATTACGATAACGGATCAGTGAATTGTTGTATAATGAATGTTTCTATTCGAAACAACAACAAAATCGGCAGATTTAGCTTGATGAACCCCAGCAATCAATCAATGGGCTACCATTTATGTTTCCCGGGAAATGTGGCTTTTTCGCATGCATAACTAATGTACTCACGAGCGAGTTTTAGACAACTTTTGTAATTTTATATCCTAAAACTATTCCAAAAATAAGCCGCAGTCAAACGAAAAAATCAAATCAATATTGAGTCATTCTGAATTGAAATTGACGCTGATAATTTTAATATTTATTTTTTGATATGTTGGAGGCACAAAATCGATGTGTGCTTCTGTTTTCATGTTTTGTGCCCCAGATGATCAATCTTTTAGAGAGCATACTCGAAAATTCTGCCGTGTTTTGCTGAAGAATCCATTATAGTAAGCGAAGATGTGTTTTGTTTGCAGAAACAAAATCACCGTTGAAATACTGACTATATCACTTAGTGAACATTTGAAATATTTTAGTTGAACCCTACTTCGTAGATGATCAATCTTATATTATTCTTCCCAATATTTGAAGATTGGAATCGGTGATCACGCTGAAGTGTCGTCCGCATCTCAAATGGAAAATCCAGCCACTTTCCAAGTTTTCGTACAGAGCGTGCAGGACTATGTGAAAAACAGGATGCCGTGTCTTGACGAGAATCCCTTGTTCATCGAACGAGCGATGAATTATGTGAGTTTCAAAAGCAACAATTTGTTTTCTTACTTGAGTAATATTGAACACCAAGAAGCTATGTGTTTTTGTAGAGGTCTACAACCTTCAAACTTCTAAGATGCTATATGTATAAATGGAAATATATCCATGGCTAGTATAGCTGTTTTTTACATACTTAACTTGAAATTTAGTTACGATGTTATGATATTGTTACGATGTTATTATAAGTCCTAAAAGAACTTTTAGACAATCCGATTAACATGCGCATCTCCATTATTTGATTAACTACGATGCGTCTTTTATTCATAATCTTTGATGAGCGGACATGCTACATCAACTTTTTCTCAGCGAATCGAATAGTCCTCATGGATAGAAATCTACAGGCTGAATAAAGTTCCATCACGGTGGATAAGTCGTCGTTTTTTGTGTACTCTGTACAGTGTACTCGTATTGCGAATTTCACCTATAGCGGAAGGCAGAAAGATTGAATAAAATTAGGGCTGAAAATGTCAAGAGAATTTCCCGAGATTTTATCAAAGCAGAGAAAGAATTCTTAATCTGATCCCAAAATTATGTAGAATTTCCGCTGAAAAATTGATCAATATAGAAACTAATGCATGCTGTTGCAGTGCGCATGCGTACTTGAGGAGGAACTCAGGAGCATACTGAAATTTGAATGAGTGTGTATACAAAATCGACATTTAGTGATTTTTTCAATGACATTCACCAGCTAGTCCAATGATTTTTTATTTTATGTTTTTATAAAAAAAATGTGGGTCACGTATCCTTGAGATGACGGATTTCTTATTGCTGAGCAGCTTTGTGTACCGAAAATCGATCTACGTTTCAATGATAAAAACATTTGCTTCGGAAAAATCAATCAACGCTGATGAAAAAAAAATCAAGAATCGCACACATTACTATACTGTATCCTCATTATTTGAACGTTTTTCTCGATTCAGAAAGTTGACACGGGCGTTTCCGGTGGACATCCGCTGGAGGGCATTAGCAGCGTCTACCTTGCGATCGAAGGTGAAGCAGCTTATTTGAAATTATTTAGTTATTTTTTAATTCCCTTTAATTTATATTTATGTAATATTATTGACCTGATTTATATGATCTACTCTGCTTGAAGTTTATAATTATATCGAACTGGAGACTACTAAATAAAAAGAGCTTTCCATGCTCGAAGCCTCCTCGTGGCTTAATACGCTTCTTTAACCGAAGGAACTAGCAACTTCGTAGTAAGAAGGACCAAGAGCCGCAAAAATCAGCAGAGGCTACGACGAAAACTGCGTGAATTTAAATTTCGGTCGTACGCGAAGAGAAATGAAATACCACGCCGAAGTAATCTTCGGGGATTCAGAGAAAAATTTTTACCTGTGAGATTCGAAACTGCACTATACAATACTGTATTTGATTATTCATCGCAATTGAATGAGGATGAAAAACGTGTCAATATTGCGCCTTAAAAATGAACGAGATGGGCTTTATGGAATCATATTTCATTAACGGTAGTTACTGTAGACTTGTAGAGACATTTCCGCGCGCGGACGAATCCTGGCACATCGATTGAGATACTTCTAGCGACATCTACTACTAAGAGAATTTACGATTTTTCCTACTTTTTCTGGGTGTCGCTCAATGATCTTGAAAAGAGCAACTTTGCTTTACACTATATACAGTAATATTCTTACCTCAGTCGGAATGACTTACACCAGAACCCGTTAACAATTCGAACTACGCTTCAACTTAAATTGGAACTGTTCATCTGATCCATTCCAGCGCATTTTATATGATCTTGCGAGGACGGCAACCGAAAGCTAGGCAATGTGTGTTCAATGCTTTGTGTGTACTGAATGCTGTTCTGCCCATAGGATCTCAAAACTAGTACACATTGCAGCTCATTTGTACATATATCTCCCGGATACTACTTCATATGTTACGTCGTACTTGCAGGATGTAAAATAACATGGCATTCAGCAACTGGTAGAATTTGAGATTACTTTTAATTGAGTTAGATGTCATCGTGTCTTACGTTGTTGCCAGCAAATGGAGAAGATCTTTCGAAATTGAGCTCCATTATGCTTTTCATCAAATCAAAATGGGTTTAGAATGAATCCTGCTATGCTGCGTGAACCATCCAAAAATCGAAGAATGGAAAACACGTGCATTTTTACGTCTCTGTATTTATATTGTCTTGCCCTAACACAACGTATAAGTACGTAGAAGTGTAAATCCATATCTGTGAATCTAGAAACAATTTACGTACAAAAGAATTGGAATCCAAAATTGAATGCCTTTTTTTCTGCACACACATGTCTCATCTAAATTTCCGGCGCTGCGAAGATTCATAATAAATTCATAATACATATTCACTAATAAAGTTGCTGCAAACCAAATGGTTTCACGAACGATTATTATTTAATTAAAAAGCGCTCAGAACATAATTAAAGGATACATAATAGAATAAGCGTTTTATCCCAGGTTAGGCAATCCAATAACCTGTCGTGTAGTCAGAAAAATATAAAAAGTTCTTGCAGCAACTTATAATAACGAAGAATTTGCACAGAAATGAGGGGCCTATATTATGAAAACGACCACATAATATTGCAAACACTACTGTTGCATATTTCGTTTATTGCAAGCAAGAAAGATTTTCCAGAAATCATTGAAAAAAACGGTAACTTTTCCCAAAGCCCGTTGCTGCTGCTGCAGGCTGGTTCAATTCGCCTGTGGCAAAACCTTGACCCCTGGTATGTTCTTGAAGCAATCCATCTTTTCACCTCTCCCCTGTGGGC